TGGAGTGTTTATATGCTTCTGCAATTAATTTTTACATACATATTTTTTCAAACCAATTTTTGAGTGCTCATCGAGACGGCTCAGGCATTCGGAATACTCAAGGAGTTTATTAGACAAATTATGCTTAAAAATTGTTTTAACTTATTTTCGAAGTTTCGACGTTTCCTCCTTGGACCTGTATATTCAGCTCAGCGATCAGTTTGTAAATTATATGTAACTGAATTCTGTGGTCGACAGGTTTGTGTACTTCATAGATACTATTTTAATTTTATTTATTATTTATTTCATTTTATTTGTTAATTTTATTTTATAATTTTACAATATTTCTATTTTTTCCTCTTACTTTATGTTAATTTTTCATTTTTTCCTTCTCCATTTTAGAGACCCACTGACGATTGGAAAGGAGTTTCCCGTATGTTAACTTTGGGTATGTTATAATAAATATTATAACTGTGTGTGTTGTAGGTGATTACCTCCTATCTAGCATCATGTAATAGTGTTATATTGCGAGACCGTTACAAACAATGTGGAAAGTATGTGTTGTTGAAGCGCACCTAGTTATTTTCGTAAATTCTATTCATAGTGATATGCATATTGTAAGAATGTTGAGGGAATACCGATACTATGTCATTCCTACACATGCGGTTCTGATCACCTGTATAGAGAAGTATTTTGCAGCCCGAAGACCGACTAAGTTACCTGAGGGCCAGTCCGTTGTCTCTGCAGCGTCCATTGTCGGACCGCGAGGTTCGAGTTCGAATCCCGAATTCTACGTTAGCTAAATAGGTTGAATTCTGATGCTGTCTGTAGAACAATTGTAGCAGTCGGATTGTCTGATCTGTAATCTGAATGTAAAGCTAATCCTGGAAGAGTAACTTCACAAAACGACCACAGGTAGAGCGCGACCTTTCCTTCCACTTCCTTGTTTAATTCTCCCCCCTTGTGCACACCTACACGCACTACACTGCGAAAGATATCGCTCGGAGCTGTGGCGGTGCACAGCTGGGGGAGATGCTTGGAGAGGGAAACAAGTCAACGAGTAGACGGGCGCTGGATCTCATCATCCAGCGAGGAAGCAACTCCTCAAATTCCCGCATAATATATTCACTACGCTAACGGGATGAGTGAGCATAGCTCTAACATCAAGGGAGATGGCTCAGAAGATCAACTGATGTCATTGGAGTGTCTTTGACCGGGAGGTTCGAGGTTCGAGTCCCGACGATGGCAGGATTTTCGACACTAGCTTGTCAGCTAGGTCAAATTTAGTCGCTGTCTGGAGGAGAATTCTAGCGGCTCTAGCTGCTCTGATGGTTTTCCTCATCAACACCAAGCGGAAGTCGGAGCAATACTGTAACAAACGGGCCACGGACCGCCCGCGGTCTTTCCTACCTCATCTTAGTCCTATCATCACCCCTTACATACACTTACACTAACGTGTAGTACATTACCACACATGCCGAGAGACCGGTCTGGAGCTTAAAGTTTGAACCGGCTGGGTTAGTGCCCCACTGGTGGGAGATACCGGGTAAACCCCACTTGCCGACAGTAAGTCGGCGCCGGATAGTGGGGGAAAGCCACCGCCACCTCCCGAGCAAAAGCGTGCACCACACTTACGGGACTAATGACCCTAAAAGTTGACGCGCCTCGAATCACTAACAACCAACGAAACAACCCACGGCATGAGCCTTACCAGCAAGACCTTGTCGCCGTGCTCCTTGAGGCGGTCGAACAGCAGGTGGCTGTAGGGGCGGTCGGGCTCCTCCAGCGGGAAGTCCGCGCCCTTGTGGATCCACTGCTCGTCGTGCGACATGGTGCGATCGCGGGCGGTCACTGAGAGGACTCGCGACTCACGTCCGCGGCCGCCGCTTATCGCTCCTTCTGTTTTCGGCGTTATCTCTCGGATGGGCTTTTGTGCGATTCATTACCACTTGGCTCGCTTCCGTTGATTTGCACTTTTTTTTAAGGAGATTATGAAACAAGTGACGATTTATTTTACTTTCTCGTATACATACGTGTATACGTACGTGTATACGGAGTAATATACGTAGTATAAAGAAAGTTATGTAATGCTGTGAAAAATCGATTTCGAAATATAGGTTTTGGGGTCCCCTGATGCCGAAAAAATAGTGCTTTTTCAAAACGCCCGTACATCTATCTGTCTGTCTGGCTGTCCGGCTATCCGTCTGACCGGCTGTCCGTCCGTCCGTCCGTCTGTCTGACTGTAAACACCACTAGCGTCTAAACCATACGTAGGATTTTTTTTTCAAAATGGATCGATCTGGCTGCACCAAAAAATGGGAAATGTTCTCTGAGTGGTGATTGATGGCAGCTGGCAAGAGTATGTGGCAAGTCGGAAAGGCTAGCCCAAAACAAAGAAATCAGAGACCTAATTGGTATGCAGTCTGTGCCAAGTAGCACCACTAGTTTATTTTATGCGAGGTTTGCTTTGGATTAAGGTTAATCACGATGAATAGTGGATAGTAAATCATCTCTTAAGAAGCTATTGGAAAATATTCATTCTTTCGTAGTGTAACAACAAAATAATAATATTTAATAAAAATGTATACCTTTTGTTATTTTTATTATCTTTTGTCTGAATTGAACCTGAATATGCAAGCACCTCTGCTTCCAAAACGTAGTACCACCACAAAAGAATAACAAATCTTCGATAATGTGTTGCGTAATCATTTCCTATCTACAATTCATCGTGATTGTCCTCAACTAAAAGGACATAAAATAAAAATTAATTGGACAATCATTTCTTAAGAATTGACAAGTTGTTTGCAAAGCTGAGATTCCTGGGAAGAAGTACGAAATTAACTTTAAATAGAACGCAAGAAGAAAGCAACATTAATTCGGTAGATAATGCACGTTATATTAATTTATATACAGGCTGAAACAACTACATGACCACCCTTGTAGCTCTTCAACCACTCATGATACGAAGATGCCGTTTGGAAAGTCGATTGCATAAACAGGGGCTATTGTACACCATACTTCGTCTTTGCACTATATTTTACTACTAAGATATAAGCTCATCTTTAAAAAAATCCTATTCTAAATTTTAGCGTTTCATAATGGTTTGGTGATTTCAAATATGTGTTATATCTCCGTATTTAAGCGAATCATGTTTTAAAATTGGATGAGTTTCTGTAACGTATTTTTCTACTGAAGTGGCACTTTCCATTCGACCTTGCATGTTCTCCGCTGCGAAACTAAAATAAAATTTTCTCATTCTCTCAATGGTTTTACCTGCTTCCTGAAAACCCTCCAAAGTCACGTACTACGAGTAGATAACAGACCGAAGGTGAGAAGTATAAAATGCGCAGCGAAGACAATGTTTGATTGGTGGTTGGTTTGTAGTCAATGAGTTGCCGTAGCGTTCATCTGATTGCGATAAAACTTTGTCAATTAATTGCTTGCACGTGCAGGACGAATATAAGCATAGTACGATAGTACTATGATAGAGAGGGATTTAATGATCAGAAAATAAGCATTCTTTCCGGCACTGTCACTTACAATTCTCTAATAATTATAGAGGATGACGCACAACTATTATGATCATTAAGAAATTACTCATAATATACAAATAGACGCCACACCGTTCTCATTGGCAGTGATTCACAGAACGAGAATCTACGTGCAGATAGGTGATTGCTTTCACTTAGATGCTGCTAGTTCGGATGCTACAAGGCGCTTAATACTTATTTCAAATATAATCACTAGATGACGCTGGCAGCGGGCATGAAATTATTTGATGTCAATTATGGTAGTTCAAGAAAATTCAATTTTAAAGATTAAATATGAGTAATTCTTTTGTAAAATAAATGTGGAAACAGTGCTTTCAACGCTTCTATGGGAAATACGCCACTGAATTCAACAGTAAATAACTTATTTGCGAAGAATTTAACGTTGCTCCAAAGAAGATTGACTTCCGTATTGCCAAATGTTGTGGAAATATTCAGTTAACTGTCGAGTGGATGTTTATTTTTTAAAACAATTTCTTACTTTCCTTGCAACTAATATACTATTTGTATGTTGACTGAATTTTAATTTTTTAATCATTAATACCACTTATGCATTACAGATTAGTAACAAATTTAAGAGTTCGCTAGGCCAACGAGTGTAAATTAATGAATAACTTTCCAGTAATGTGAGAGGTATTCAGTATGACTCCCACGCTAAGGGTCCAATTGTAAGGAAATTATCAAAATCAAACCAACCTCATTAGAGATTTGGTACTATCAGAAAGAATTACTATCAAATTATAGCCGAGCGTTACATGTAATTTAACAATGTGCTCAGCTTTGTGGTATTATCAAATATATTCATTCAGCAATAATTCTACTCCGTATCATTTATAAAAGCAAACAAACAAACTTAAGTATTAAAGAATACGAAGAAAATTCATTATGTGCAGAAATTAATGAGAAAAATAAACAAGTTCAAGAATAGAGTAATAAACAACAACAAGGAAACCTTTTAAAATATACATGTGATTCTGCTGTGAAAGATTATGACTGTCCGCCACAATTCTCAAATGAAAGATATGTCAACACACTGAATGACTGGACGATCAATTTCTATAGCTTAATAATAGGTAATTTTTGTTTAGACTGATTCATTACCTTGTTAGTGATTCCACCTTGGACGCTCGCCGCGGTCAGAGAGACTGCAGTGACATCAATTGATGCCTTGAAAACTCTCTCCGATGTATTCTTTAGAGATAAAATAAAGAAATACAATAACTGCTTCATTTCGCAAAAATAAATATTATAATTTTTTTTGCCTCAAAGACGCTTCTACCATCCTTTTCTACGAAGTAAATGAAAAAATCCATGAATCCTGCCTAAAGTGAAGAATCAAATCAAGAAAACAGTGGTTCCTGGTGTCATTTTGTTGTTAGGTTCGCTTGAAATTCGTGATATCTGGAAATTTTGTATAGCCTTTTGGACGATTTTTGCGATTGACGAAATCTAACTTTTACTCAGTCCAATTGTATTCGTTTTATTGCAGTCTTGGGTGCATTTATTAATACTATCACCCATAAATACTTTTACCGCTGCCAATGGTAAGGAAAAATTACAAAAAAATTCTAATTATGGTCACAGCAATCAGAGAGAGTATTAAAATTGTAATAACTTCCAATTTTTTCATCCATATTGTAACAGTTGTTGGACTGAAAAATTTTTACGCTCTGTGGAGTCGTATTTTAGACACTATTACATTTACATAAAAATAAATTACATGAATATTTCAGAACGTTTGAAAAAAACTAATTAAAATAAACATTGTTACGTGTATATTATGTACATGATAGTTATAATACGGGAATATAATGAGATGCAAAACAAATAATGCAATTAAATTACTACAGCATTACAAAAGACATAAAATATCAGTGACAATATCAGATTAAGCATTATTAAAACATTCAGTTGAAAATACATTAATATCTACCAAAATTACACTTTAAATCATGCAACAACAACTTTACACGCAATAAAATGTCAGTTTGAATTCTTAGCATACTAAATAAGAATAAAATATTATCAAAGTTTGCAATATGTACGACTTGAAGGCTTTCACGGCTGGAGTCAATATTCTTCATGTCTTCCCGCCCGGGCCGCGGCCCATCAGTACGGAAGACAAAAAATATGTACAACAAATTAAAAGTAATTCAAGATGGTATAATTAAAAGAGTATCTCCACATTGTACGAAGAGTTCTCAACGTTCGTCAAAGTTTGTCCATCACAGAGTTCTCACGTTTGTCTCGGGTCGAAGAGATACTTCCGATCTCGCTGCTATCGCGTTGAATGTGTGCTCTGGTGCGCTGGGGTGTTTAACCGCTCACTCCCGCGGTGAGCCCCCACGTTGTGCTCTCCTTCGCCGCCCGCGCAGCTCTTTTGTTCGCGCAGCGCCCTCGCCAGCTGGCGCAGCTCGCGGCGCTTGATTTTGCCAGAGGCCGTGCGCGGGATCTCGTCCACGAAGTGCACGCCCCCGTGCAGCTGCTTGTACACCGGCAGCTCATCTGCAAACAACGAAAAAAGTTACTGCAATACATTACTCTTGAAAATAGACACCGTAATGCAGATGCTTGTACTCCGACAGCTCATCTGCGTAGACAATAGAATTAATACTTGCGATACAACAGTTATGCATCTACAAACAACGAGGAAGGTTAGTGAAAAACGTTGCTCTTGGAAAAAAGGCGCCCCGTACCCTGGCAGCCCATCTGAAAACAAGCAGACTAGAAGCCCCTGCAGCTGATTGTACACCGACAGCTCATCTGCAAACACGTTTACTTCAAGACATCATTCAGTGCCTTCTCACTACTGGTTTTACACCGCCAGTTCGTCTGCAAAGAGCTGGGCAAGATTACATTCAATTCATCCGGAAATAGTCGCTTCCACACAAGTGCTTGATCTTCACCAACCCATCTGTAAAGAAATAGGATTATTTGCAGAACATTCCTTTTGGAAAATTGCCAAAGGTTGATGACAAATTGCCAAAAGGTGTAGTTGATTTACATCGCCTGCTCATCTGCAGACGAGTACTCGTAGTTATATTGTTATACATTAGGTTATAACTGAATAACCACGCATTTTAAAAAGGGATTGGATTTACTAGTTGAGTAATTGAGAAGTTAAGTCTCCGTGCTGCGGCAAGGCATCTTATTTTCAAGGGTCGAGTAGAAACGAAACAATGGTACAAATAAATTTGGTTACATTATTTTTGTTTCCATAATATGTTGTAATACTCAATTTAAAGTATTGATTGATACGTGTACCATAAACGTATACGTGAATCAATACGGGAAGATAAATAATGTTTTACGTGCATAAGAAAGTTTATATAGAAACTGATTTGGTATGCAATTGCAAATAAATGAACTACTACTGTAAATATTTGGAACTAATGGTATAGGCCCCTTCACCAGAACGCGATATACAGCGCTCGTGGTTAATCTTTCATTTGGTTCCTAAACACTGTCATGGCGAGTCGTACCTTTCAGCAACTGAAGAAGTTGCTCCTTGGTGACATCGTGCCCGTCCTGCCTCACGACGAAGCCCACCGGGTGCTCCTGGTCCTCGTCGTGCTCGATGCCCACCACCGCAGCGTCACGCACGCCCTCGTGCGCGGCCAGGACGCTCTCCACCTCCGCCGGCGCGATCTGGCGAGACAGGGTCATCAACGAAGGTCCCGAACGAAGGTTACTTAACCACGCTCTAGGGTTACTTAACTACAGAGCCTTCTGCGAGTTCTTAGACGATTTATAGCATACACAAACAGTTTGGAAGAATGAATCCTAGTAGAGCCAAACATTCAAGCGGAGATTTATCTCGCATACAAACAAATATTTAAGAGTGTCTGAAATCGGCATCCGAAATTTTTTCTCAGTCTCGTGATACACGACAATTCGTTTCTCGTCACTGTACTGTCATAAACTAATTATAGAAGGGCTCTTTCTGTTATCTCGCAACTACGTTCCATTATCTTCGCATTATTATAATAATTTTATTATTACATTAATTATTATTATATTATAGCGGTCGTGCTATAAAATGACATTTTATAAACGATTTATTGGGATTTATAATGCTGATACTCAAAAATTGTTTTATATTGAGGTTTCGGTAAGGAAAGGTAACGAAAAATGCAAAATGTTTTATAACTTGATCTACGTTTTGCTGGGTGTTGTATTTGGATTTTTTATGGACTATGTCAGAAGTGGAACAAACGAAAACGATATAGTTGTATAGTGTAATGTGGCAAATGTTAAGCAAGGAAAATACTTTTTTTTTACCTAGTGTACAGTAGGACTATTGCCTGTTCGCAACGTTGGGAATCAATAGCTCATGTTTTTGACTTGCTAATTGCTATCTCGAAACCCTTTTAGGACTACACTTTCGGGACCAACACTACCAGAACACACATGGTCCATACAGGACTGGAATAAAGCCAAAGGTCTCGTCATCGAAATGAAGCAAAGCAGTTCGCGAATTCATAAGCTCTCTTCAAATTTTCTCTTGTACAGTAGAACTTCAGTATCCCGAAGTAATTGAGGGCGTGGTCCGTTTGAATTCGGAAATCCACGGATTAAAAAAGTATGGTACATTACACAAATACATCTGCAGCAAAGGTTTTATCCTCTTTTCGTCCACGGATCCCCTGACTTTAACGAATCTTTCCGCGGATTTCTTGGTAAGGAAAGTTTCAAAGATAAGTTTCAAATTCAAGGGTTAATAGGCCTACAACATATTCATCATAATTCAACATAAGTGATACAATATATTATTTTTTCCACATTGGGTTTTTTCCATTTTCCATTCCCAATGGGTAGTAAAATGACACATAAATCATTTTACTTAGTTGTAAATATTATGATATGGCTTGTTTCCTCAACATTTGTTCAAATCTGGGATCAAAATTGGAAACCGACTCGCAATTAGTTTTTGACGTTCAATTTCAATCTGTGTTTGGTTTTCAATAATGCCAATGCTGAAAATCCTACCTAACATAAATAGGGGGTTTGAAAAGGGATCAAAACTCGTAGGGACATATTTCCTATTTGTGGATACTCATTTTTTCATCTAGCTCCAGAACTAGATGAGTGGTGATGATTCGAACTTCGATTTTAAACTGAAGTAAAACGAAATATCGATGAATTGCTCTTGTTATTCGGTGTATAAAGTTGATGGGATTTCCGTATTGAAGGGATCTTTGATCCAATTATGGCGAACACCTTTTCTGGAACGTACTTGTTGCAAACAATGAGTTTACGTAAATGATCCACAAACGCAGACTTAATTTCTTCACTCAACTATAACTCTCTGTCTAAAATCGTGTGCAAAGCAGGAAAAAGTAATGAGTATCTGTATCTTCCAACTTTCTCTTTCACAATAGTAATTTATTTCTGAACGATGAAATTTTATCTGAAATTTACAAAATGGTGGTCTCATTACCTAGCCGACGTACATTTGAAGAATTGAGTTTTGAAAGTATATCACAAATGTATACCAGCATCAAAACGAATCGCTGTCGACAAAGTTCCTAGAACTCAAATGGTTTTCTTGAACAAGACAACAATGAAGTTAATTTCTTAGTTCGTACACCATTTCAAGACATTTCCCCGTGAAAGTCAGCGAGAGTTACAACAATAAAGCAATTAAATATGTTCATCCCCCATATTATCACACATTTGTTTAAAAAACCTGGACTTAAGTAGCCTACTATTAATAAAGTTAATTACTTCACTGATTGAAGAACTTGAAAACCCTTAGCCCTGTCCTATATGATGTCAGTGCTTCAGTATGTATAAAACAATGGGTCAAAATTTCATGAAGAGCCTCTTTACGAATCAAAATTTTCAATCCAGCTTTACAGGCGAGTATACGAATATACAGTACGAGCTCCATAAATACACACGCAGTCACAATTTTTCGATTGAACGTTGTTTCTTTTCATAAAAGAGTTCACTACTTCAAAGATATCTTCAGCTTTTGCTCCAAAATAGATGTGCACGATTGTGGCTGCATGTAGCGTCATTCAACTAAATGGCGAAATTGCTTTATTTGAGTTTTTTAAGGGGCTCATCATTAATATCACTAGCCATGTCAATATTCGACGACTAATTGTCTGACGAAAGCACACTTGCCAGTAGTTTGGCAGCAGTCATTTATCATAGTAGACCCTATGTCCAAGTCTGCTTGTAAAACGAGTTCTTCAGCAATGGTTTGAGGTTTCTTGCTCTTCCCTATGCCGTTGGATACTTTGTAAGATGAAAGAATGGTTGTAGGTATAGCAGCTTATTTAGTGAATATTGATTGCTGAGCAGTAGTTTCTTTCAGCTTATGAGAAAAGTATTCGCCAGGCTTATTTACCCAACTTCCAGTATTTTACTCCAAATGACGTTCCATTTTATCATGAAGTATTCGTTCACCACTTACACTTTCAAACAAATCAGGGATAGTTCTTCATTTCCAATAGAAATCCGTAAAACCGATGTTCAAGTAACTGTAGTCGTACTTTCCAAATTTGCGTCTATTATTGTATCGAGAACAGCATAAACTATCTTGCTTGTACTAATTTTTAAAAAATATATCCATGCTTATACACAATTATCACAGAAGACAAGAGAACGATCAGCTTTTGACGTAAATAACCTCGCAACTGATTCTTACTTTTCATGTGTCACGTGCTGCGACCCCACCAACGTCTTGCCACTCTGCGATTTTGCGACCTGCTTTCTGGGGAACGAATGGAAAATCTCTGGCAATCGCTATCACCCATGTGTGCAGGGTGTCGGTGCCGCCGCTCGCTTGCACGGATAGACAGAAATTGATTGGAGTGGGTAGAAAGAAATATTATATATCCATGGCCATGAGGCGCGCTAGGAATGTACGGTGATTTTGATTTAGATTTATTTAGTGAAAAATAGTAAAAATTGTATGTGACATATGGGAGAGAAGATCAACTTCGCACGTTTTCTTGACTTTCGGAATCCCTTCCCATCATCATAATTATAAATAGCTGAAAGATGAGTAAAGGTTAAAAATAAATAAACAAAAATACATTTTAAAAAGTGCGAGATTAGCAATATTTGAAAAAAAGAGACTTTTTCGTTCTCGAGTTATAGAAAACTTATTTGCATCGGTAAACGAATTGCAGATACGATTTTTCTGCAATGTTAACAAAATAGTAACTCGCCCTTATCTCTACTTCTATCAATACAAGCAAAAGGAGAGTTCAACAAAACGTGCGCGTAGTGAAGCTATATTTACTTCCAGAAGCAAAACAAGAGGCCATCTCAGCATTTGCTGAATGTATAAGGAAAACTGCACAAAACCTGATCGAGATGACAACGGTGCCTCGGAAGCTTGTTGGTAAGAGACTTGCTAGTTTCAATTAATCCATATTTAATTAGTAAAAAGAATCGTATATATTACAAATAACCTACAGTATGGTAGTACAAAATTATTTTGTGGACATAGACGACTCGCGGATCAAAGTAAATCATATCTAAAGATCTGTTTTTAATAATTACCGCGACGCCCCTTCCATATTTTAAGGTAAGAAAAATTTTTGAAAACTGCAGTTAGATATAACCCGGTTGCAGCTAATTACATAAATAAGATAATATATATATAACATGCAAATTAAATAATAATAATAATAATAATAATAATAATAATAATAATAATAATAATAATAATAATAATAATAATAATAATATAAAAACTGATCGACTCATAAAACATGAAATATCCTTAAGAAAAAGAAAATACTATAATCCAATTCCGCACTGAATGTTTGTTCAATGAAGACCACACTGCCCTTCACTATATCCCTTGAATCACTTGCTTCATTTTCTCTATGCTCTACGCTACACGGTACCTTACTTCTCAATACATCACTTATGCTTCGCTCTATAACTTATTATTCTTAGTTAAGTCCCTCATTTACTTAGTTATACTCTAAATTAATTTCGTAAACTATTGAATACTTCGAGAAAAGGGTTCAAAGGTTTTTGCGGGCAATCTATTCCATTACGTTATAATTCCGATTTGTGAAAGAAAATTTCCAAATGGATTGGACGCCTCTGGGAATCGCGACGCACAGTTTGATCTAAAGGATTACCAGACAAAATGCAACGTAGCGCGCGATGTGAGAAAAATGGCAACGTAGCGTGGCGATCGCATCAAGAAGATTTAGTTCCTTAGCACAAGAAGATGACCGATTTTGCATGTTCCTCTAAGTGAAAATGACTTATATAAACATGTGATGTATACTATAGTTACCAATGCAGTTAACGTTTTATTTCCACAACTTGTTTCATTAGTTAGGTGTTAAGTTTTGCAGTAATTATAAAATCCTTTCTTTACACAACAAATAAGCATTTGATTTATTTTGTAAATTTTTCCTCTATTTTGTTCGGATTTTTCGAAATTTCGGATTTGCGGGGTTTAGATTAGTCGGGATCTACTGTATATATAAAAGCTGGACACCTGGCCACTTCTAGCCTAGCAGGCATTGTGTCAACTCACGTGTACTCCTTTGTACTTGACCAGCTCCTTGAACCGGTCGCAGATGTAGAAGTAGCCGTCTTCGTCGAAGTAGCCCACGTCGCCGGTGTGGACCCAGCCGTCCTTGTCGAGCATGTCTGCCGTCGCCTGAGGGTTCTTGTAGTAGCCGATGAAAAGCATGGGATTCTTCAGGCAGATCTCTCCTTCGACGTTCGGACCAACCGCCTTCCCAGTCTCGGGATCGATGACCTGTGAATGAAATTAACGTTGCTGTCAACGTCTGTTGTACGCAATTGCTTATTATAAAACAAACGAAATTAAAATATTATGTGTTAATCATACATTTCAACATAATATAGAACAAACAAGTTTCAACTTGTTTTTGATGTTTTCATCAAGTACACAAGAGTATCTTAAAAACCAAGCAGTATATTAAATTGGGGATCAAATTGAATTATTGGTACCGCAACCTCACACACTTTCTAGCTGTGATGTAACTTTTGCAATTCTCGAAAATACGAAGAGTTCAATATCAACCAGACACGTGCTATAAGCGTGCTTTGCAAAATCCGGAATTCGGAGCCGCTTTTCAGAAAATCTTGTTTTAAAATTGTCTTTATTTCACGCAAAATTACTTAGAACGACTCATTGTTTTTTAATTGAACGTGATCTTATTTCATGGCCTATCATTAAAGATTAGATTTCAATTAGAAAACAATATCTTTCTTCAAATGTAAGACTCCGAACAAATTTAATTGTTGTAATTTGGGAAAGTTGAGGGTATTCAAGCAAAAACGCATCTGTGCCATATTTATAAGCTTACTTTACTCTATGCGATAAAAAAACAACAACACAAATTTGATGTCGTGTTTGAGAAAAAAATAGAATATGTTGAAGCTTGGTGTAAAAACCTTCAAAAATAAAAAGGCCGAGATCGTAAAAAATACATTTCAAATTCAAAAGGCCGCAACATCAGCCCAGACGAATACGGAAATATCAATTTTGGTAAAACCATGCCACGAGATCGGTCGGAAGCTTAGAGCTTGTCCCGGCTCGACCAATGGTGGTGAGCGATGCCCCAACCGTTGGTGAGAGATGCCTGGTTGGGGAAAACCGACGGTAGGTCGACGCCGGATTTCGCCATCAAGTGGGGGAAGATCAACGCCACCTCTCCAGGAAAAAAAACATGCACTACCCTCACGGGACTAATGACCTGACGCGCCCGTCATGTCAAACAATCAATCAAACAATCTATCGAGGAGAACGAGGCCGGGCGCGGGACTGACCTTGGCCTGCGCGTTGAGCGCGGGCGTGCCGACAGACGTGGGCTTCTCCTTGGAGAGCGCCCCGGGCAGCAGCGAGATGAGGCTCTCCGTCTGCCCGTAGAACTGCACGAAGGTCTTGTTGAGGCGCCGCTCGGCGAGCAGCCTCAGCGCCGGGCTCAGCACGGCGCCCCCGTACCCCACCTGCGCACGACGCGCCCCTTTTTTTAAATGTGTTGCGTCTCCTAGCCCTTCTTGGTCATTTAGCGTATTAATATCTGGAGTAATCCTCCGTTCAGTTGGTGGCTTTTTGTCGCGTTACGTCGCAGTTCGTGAATGCATTTTATCCCTTCGGCCAGGATCTCGGTGCCATTATTAACCGGGGTTATCAGACGGTCACCCATCCCGGAAACCGTGGGGTTCTGTTACTTTACACGTAAGCTATTTGGCTAAAGACGTCGGACTTCCCTTTATAACTCTCGCTTCAAGCGAGCTCCATGTTTACTGTCCGAAGGAATAAACCGGACGGTGGTCGGATTTTCGACACTAGTTACCCAGCTTGGTCGAGTTGAGCCGCTGTCTGGAAAAGAATACTAGCGGCCGGCTGCTCTGATCGGGCGTTTTCAGAGGATTCTCCGATCAACATCTGGCGAATAACGAATCAATATCCTAATAAATGGCTCACAGACCGCGCGCGGTCTTTCTTTCCTTTTCCCATCCACACCCCTTACATACACGCACACACATACCTACACAAAATCACATGCACTACACTACCACACATACCGCGAGACAAGTGTGGAACTTAGAGCTTGTAAAGAGAATGTGCTTCGATAATGTAAAATGCGTGGTTAGAGGAAAATCCAGGAGCCGACGCGTATGTCGGAGCCGGATGTCGCTATCCAAAGGGGGAAGATCACCACATTTCGCGATAAAAATCATGCACTACACTTCCGGGACTACTGACCGTAACAGTTGTCACTGACGAATTAGGCAGTCCCGGAATCACTGACCAATCAAATGAAGGAAGAGAAGCTGTTTAAGACATAATATTATTTATTATGCGCGGCAAAGTAATATTCCTTTTAAGTGAGGGCGTTTTCATTCAGGGGAATGCAAATACGCCATTATCCTCAACAAAATCATCATTATACTAAACGTCATACTTTAATTTAAACCAGGTCAGGGTTGGCGAACTGACGGCCCACAGCGCCATTTATTGTGGCCCGCGAAAGGCTATTAGTTAAAAGTGGGTCTCAGTGTTTTTTTTTTACTGAATTGGGAAAGAAAGGCGTCAGGCATGTGACGTTATGGTCCATAGAACAATTGAGGCTATTACTCGCCCTCTCCACAGGCAGACTAACCTAACCAACCAACGTCTGACCAGGACGGACGAAGGGTCGGAAAACCGTGGGTCATTTACTAGGTGAGGAGGATATGGAGGTAATGAAAGCCTCGACAATGCCTGTAGCTATGACCACGCCAATGCGGGACTATCCATAACCGCGCGAACCGAGCTCGTGCCTCGGAGTTCACGGGCAAGATGGGTGGTTCTAACGGTCAGTAAATATACCATCATACGTATCAGTAAATATACATGAAACATACGAAAAACCGCCAACTCACCATCCTGAGCGACGTGACGTCATACTGCTCGACGTCGGGGTGCTTGGCGATGGCTGCGATCTGCGGCGGCGACAGCGACAGAGCGGTGACGCGGTAGCGCTGCACCGCGGCCAGCGTCACGTCCACGTCGAACCTGGGGAGGAGCACAAGCGGAGAGCCGCCGTTGAAGTTGAAGAGGCTGGCCATCAGCCCCGAGATCCAGAAGTTGGGCAGAACCAGCAGCCCGCGCTCCAGGCGGCGTTGCTCGTCTGTCAGGAAGCTCTCGAACTTCCTACGCGGAGGGCAAAGGCATTGTTCAGCAAAGCACGTCGCAAAGAACGTCTACAGAACAAAATATTTCAGAGCAACGTGAGTGGACTACGTTCGTATAATTGATTGATTTGGGATTCTGGGCGCGTCAATCACTATGATAATTACTCCTGTAAGTGTAGTGCACGATTATTATCACGAGATATGACTAGCCTTCCCCGTTGGATGGTGAGATCTAGCGCCGAACTACCATACCGTCGGGTTTCGGGATACCCCATAGATATCTCCCACCAGCGGGACAACGCTGCAGCCTAGACAAGCTCTAAGCTCCCGTCTGGCCACCCATGTGTCGTAGTGTGGTGCACGTATGTGTGAGCCTAGGACAAAGAGGAGGATGGATGGATGGATGGATGGATGGATGGATCGCGCGCGGTCCGTGACCCGTTTGTTAGGGTACTGCTCTGGCATTCGCCTGGGGTTGATCGGAGGAGCAACAGAAATCCACCGACCAGAGAAGCCGGCCGCCAGAGTCCTCCTCCAGAAAGTGACTAAATTCGACCTAGGAGCTATATTATACTAAATACATACAAGGAGCTATAATTGCGCTCATAAAAACTGTTTTAAGAATTGATTGTTTCGTTAGCTTAGTGGTTAGAGCAGCTGGGAGTTACCTACAAGTCCCGGATTCGAATCCCGTTCGGGGCAATCAATTCTTTGAACAAATTATAGATGGAAAATATTGGTAAATCTTTTCCAAAGAACCTAAGTGAAACACATTCGTATAAATGTTGGCAGGGCGAGTACTACTTAGACGATGAGAAGGGTTGGCGAATGTTGCGGATTAGATTCAGAGTTATTTCCTTAGGAAGAAAAGGAAGTGTCAGACGAGGTGGGAGAGCGTGAATCCCTTGGGGCGAAAGTTGCAGGCGTGATAATTAAAGCAAGAAATATTCTGAACTAAACTAAAAATAAAACGTTTCTAGGATAAACAGTTTTAATTTTATAAAGGATAGAAAGCTATTTTTAGGTACTTAGTGATAATGAGGCACATGATAAAGGCATACAATGGAATTGCAAATTAGACGATCACATTTTTACAGAAACTAAGATCTTTTTTATGAGCCCCCGTCAACGTCAGGCATAGCGCTCTTTCGACTCCCTTGTTGTTAAACCGTACTAGGTTGGGACTTGGTGCTCCACAGTATTACACTAATAAGACTAAGTGTAATGAGCACTGAGTGCATAACGTCTTGCGAGCGACGGAGATGCACTTGTGGGTCTATGTTTGTATGTGTATGTGTGTGTGTGTGTGTGTGTGTGTGTGAAGCAAGTTCAGATGAAAACATTCAAGTAACGAATCTACTCTAAAAACTGAAAGAAGAAAACTGTTTTGTCGAACCGCTCTAAATGTATAGAGAAAAGTTTCTAGAATATATATTAATACATTAAGCGGTGTTTAAAGAAACTTCGGACATTTCTCGCAAATGCCCCTGCAGGCGAAGGCAGATGGTATACACATTTGCGCGGAATAAAATGGTGGCACTCACTCGCCGAGGACGAGCAGGAAGTGCAGGCTGCGGTGCGAGAGCATGACGCCCTTCGGAGCGCCCGTGGTGCCGCTGGAGCACATGACGACCGCGGGGCCGTCCAGGTCGGCGGAGGCGTCGGCCAGGAAGTCCGCCCCGCCGGCGGGCGCCGGTCGCAGGAAGGCCTCCCACTCGCCGGTGCCCCGCGCCACGGGCACCACGTCCGCCCCCGGGGCCAGCGCCGCCCGCACGCGCCCTTCCGCCCGCGGCGCGCACAGCACCACGCGCGGCGCCAGGATGGCCAGCAGGTGGCGCACGTCGCCTGCGAACACCCGTTCTCGCGTACAGACATGCACTCATTGACGAACGCCCACTGGTCAGCTATAGCTACTGGTGTGACCCCTCCCCCCCACTGACGTGACCCCCCCACTGACGGCACAACACCGTCCCACGATGAAAACCTGCACTACATTTACAGGGATTATGACCAAAACAATTGACGCTCCCGAAATCATCAATATACTCTTGTGGTCGGGCAAGCTGTAACCTGGTTTCGTGCTGTGGGGCCTCAGGTTGCTGAAACAGCTGAAAGAGCCCCTGCATTCTGCGTCACAGGCCACCCTCATAAGGCACCACCTTGGAGCGCGAGCCCCTTCCCCTCTCTCCCTCTGCTTTTTCGCTGCTCGCGTCTCTGCCTTCACTCGCACATGCGGCAACGGTGCACAAGAGTCGGAGCTCTCCCGTCGCGTCCTATGAGGGCGTCCTGCGACCCAGAATGCAGGGGATGCCTCAGCGTTTTCAGCAACCTGATGTCCCACTGCACGAAACCAGGTCGCAGCTCGCCCGACCACACTCTTTACGGCAGCGGTAACATCCTTACTTTCATGCAAGTCCGGGTTGAATGGCGCGTATATGGCGCCGGTGTATAGAGTGCCCAGCAACACGTAGGCGACCTCGAGAGAGTTGTCGAGCGCAGCTGAGACCACGTCACCCGGCCCCACGCTTCTTCTGCGCAGCTCCTCCGCCACGGCCATGCTGCGCTCCAGCAGCTGCGCGGCGCTCACCGTCTCACCCGTCGGTCCGTCCACCTGGAAGCACAGCAGACGGCTCACCCGTCTTCTCTCCTTAAGCGCTTTCCAACAACCAATATGCAGACTGCTCCATAACCCTCCAGTGCCGCCCTAAACTCTCAAATTTTCTAGAAAAAAGGATTGCAAATTACTCTACAAACTATCCTGAGCCATATCGTTTGTGGGCAAGGAGAAGGCGGATAAAGTGGTGAGACACGGCACCACTCTTCCTCAGCATACCAGCTCTTAGTCTTTTCATTTTGCTAAATCTTCCATCAAACGAGTCATCAATGCGTAGATCAGGGTTCCCCATACGCAAACTAGCTCCGGGAAGAACTGGGACAAACAGATCTTGTCACCGATCTCTCGTAACCTAGGGAGGTCCTTGCGTGTTGTTGCCTTCAGAACTACTGCAGGCCTGAACTATCTAGCCTCTCACCTGCATGGTATAGGTGTTTTCGAGAGCGACCCCCTCCCCCCCCGAAGATAGATGCAGCCCACCTCCCTGAATGTCCTGTTCTAAAGGGCGATCCACAGATGGTAGACGGAGACCACGTGAGGTAAACTTCACGTGTATACTGATCAGCTCGTCACCAAATTGCTATCATTCCAAGGGTGAGCGTTGGCTAATAGTAAGTAGCTTCCCTCCCCATCAGCTTCGCATCAGTCGCACGCTGTTGTGATTCACAAGTTCTTTACTAGGCTCACACATGCAATCGACGCATACCTAGGCACACCCTAGCGCCTGACTACATACAAGCATCCCCCTCCGAATCACTCACGGAGCCTCGTAATCGCATATCACTCAACTCTAGCGCATATCTCTCTAACAGTTAATATCATCTACACCCTCTAATGACATCACTCAGCTCGTCCTAAGGAATAATTCCTAATTCATGAGCTAATTAATATCTCACATTCGTAGAGCTTCAGAGAGTCGTAAATACAACATCACTCAGCTCAACTGACGGACTTATCTCTGAAAGTTCGTTGCGTTGCTCGCTCACGTCCACAATACACAGCCATCACTGAGTTCACTTGTGTGCCCATCGATCTGAAAATAATGCCCGTTTCATTCACAAAACATTCAGCTCACCGACGACCCTAAAGCTTTGCAATGGAGTCACCCCGCTCTCAATCCACTCTCGTCATCCCGCTTATCTGTTCGCAAAGCTCTGAGTTAACCCACTTTTCCTCGTAAGCCAAATCGCTCAGATCACCACATTCCTCACTTGCTTCCTCACCTCGCCTACTGACATGACAGAGCTCACCCTACAGGTAGGATTCTCATGTTTGTGATATAAACAGCATTTCTATCGAATAATATTGTATTATTATCATCGAATAATATTGTATTATTATCATCGAATAATATTGTATTATTATCATCGAATAATATAAAAACAATGAAAACATAAGAAAATATATTTTATCGAAGTTTTAGCAGGAAAGTTGAGGAACGCTCAAACTTTATTACGAAGAAGCCCCTGGCGGAGAGTTAATCAACAACAACAAAAAATTAATGGGTTGAAGTACATAATTAAATTTATTCCGTATTATTCGCTAGTCCTTTCGAAAAGACGACACCTGCAGGTGTCTACGCAAGCGACCATGTGGACGCCGCGTGTGGGAATCCACCGCGCTATCTCCCGAACAATTGTCACGCGATTGGAGATAAGACAATGAAAACAGTGATACTGCGCAAAGATCTGGTCTAAATTCGAAAGCGATTTGTTGCGTCAACGTCGGTCACAATCTGAGTCTTGAAAGAATGCTGATTTGCGGAAAAGCACAATAGCCAATGCTAATCGTTGAACCAGCAATGTGGGACATTTCTGTTCGAATGATAACAAATAGGACACTTGTTTCACATTTTTTCCACATGTTATACGTATAATTTCGTATGCTTGCTTAAATGATTGGACACAAATACGATTTCATAAATTGTAGCTCCTGAGATAGGAAAGTGAAATATGACGTGCGGGCATACATGAAAGTTCGGTACAACAGATTTTTTACGAACTAAGGCCTACCAGTAGCGTCCAGCCCTTACGGTCATGGGTTAAGGGGTACGTGTGGTTAGCACACAGCCATTCCTACGTATCCATTCATACGTATTCTGTTATTTTCAACCTGACAAGTGAGCTTTCGCATTGTCACACAACAACTGTTACTGGGAATTGCAAGGAAAGAGCACAATTAACTTTTGCCCTGACCGGGAATCGAACTCTGAGTTGCGCCGTGGAAAGCGAGCAGGCTAGCCATCGAGCCCCCGAGGGCTGCATACATGAAATATGATGTAGAATAAAAGTTAGCATAATGTACGTGGATCAGCGAAATATGAGACAAGCGCAGAAAAGGCCCATACAACCAAGTCGTTTACACCATTATCTATTATACCTAAATACTAAATGATAATTTGTCCTCACGATTAGGATAGTAATAGGAGTAATTTATTACTTCTGCACGCACTTTCTTTTAATTTTTATTTCAAGTGCTCTCAAAAAACTAAAAAATGAATGTGAAATATGGGAGAGGGCAAGATATATTTTGCGAATAAAAGGAAAACAAGGGAAATCACAATTTAAGCTCAAATTATGTGTTAAAATTCGATGAAAACGCTGATTTGCAAACGGACTGTAGGATAACTCTGGGAATTTCTTAGATGCTTCAATTGGCGCAGTGGTGACATGAGCTGATGGCGAACAAATCTTGCTTTTCCGAAAGATTGTCTTCAGATTAAGAACATTTTTACAGATCAAATATTATAGTCATAGTCAGGCATAAACATGTAGTTTAAGATGGAAGAACCAACTTTATTGTTATTTGTAGCGTCGGCTAGAAGAACGTTGTAAGCGACACATTTTTAAATTTGCTGTTTTCTACGGAACAATGTTGAATATGAATCTGTTCTCCCATTGACATTTTATTAGCACGGTCAAGCTTATTTCTGCGTGAAAAATCTGGCATCCAATATTGGCTAACGTAGAAAGTAAGGTTGTAAGTGCTAGCAAAATGGCGCAAAACGAGCTTATAAGTATTTCACTGTCCACTGTAAAAGACAATAATACGGACAAGAAAAGAAGAGAAAATTATGAAAAGTAGAATTGTAAAGTAAGAAACAATTGTAGGTATTCCGGCGAAGAGTATATAATCTCTGGGAAGGTAAAAAAAAGAAAGTCCATACGTGGTGGGTGAAACAACGTAGTATCCTTGTCATTGCCAACAATATTTTTTAACGCAATAGCAGCTTTCGATTGCTTAGCCATCATCATCAGTTGTCTGCTAGATGGAAGCCACGAAACGACTACCCTACGTAGTCGTTTCGTGGCTTCCATCTAGCAGACAACTGATGATGATGGCTAAGCCATCGAAAGCTGCTATTGCATTAAAAAATATTGTTGGCAATGACAACATCTTTAATTATTTTAAAAATGCCAAAGATATCACACCACAATACCTATAACGTAGTATCCACTAAAGCTTACGTATGTTGTGTTATAATTCGTGTTCGCTGAATAGCACCAATGTAATTAAACTGGATGTATACATTTCAGAACATATCCTGTAAATGCAGAGTAGAATGCAATGCCGAAAACATATTGTAGCCTGAAAGCGGAGCTCTTTGAGAAGTTCCGTGCGCTATGTTATGATATATAGTCAAAATTTCTTGCACATTAGTGTGTGACTGTTCCAGAGCCGAAAAGAAAAAGAACTTGAGAATGAGTGTATCTTAGGCATTGTACATTATATATTACATATTATATGTTATTAATCAGAAAAAGGGAAACTTGTTTGCCACAAAACATTGTGTGATACGTTGAAAGCGTCACCGCGGAGTCTTAGAGTTGTACTTGAAAAACCGGAAATAAGTAAAGACAAAAGATGAACGAAGGATCCACAAGAATAGACTGTATTTCACAACAGCACGTAAGAAAAAGTGTAAGAGAGCTTACTACATCATTTCTCAAGTATGAAAGTTGTGATTCCCGTCACAAGGTAAACAAGGAATGCTTATCCGCAGATCTGAATATCATAATCTCGTACGCACAAATAGGAATTAACAAGTTCTCAAGCATTTTCAGGTTTTACTACTTATTTATAACTTCCAGACCCACTATATTAGAATAACGTCGTATGTGTTTTGGATATGTAGCGTTGTTCCATGGAATAAAATTACATCCATTTGTATGCCGTGGAACAGTTTTCTAGAACAACTTCCATTGTAAAACATTTCTTTAAAAGTCCTACAAATTCCAGAAGAGCATATGCCACCGATAGCATTGAAATTTTAAGAGGTAACCAATTTTGTCCTCTCCTGCAAAATTTAGAATATGTCGCTCACAACGTTGTTCCAGCCGATGCTTAATTACGAACGATGAAGTTGGTCATCTTCGCCGGTCTTGAGCCTTCTACTTCGCTCATGCTTTTCTCACAGCTCGGATGAAAATGAAACCCCTCAAACACTTTCCAGGCGAGTACGCTTGGCCGCTCGATAAAATACCTCAACTTATTATTTAAAGCTGTTCAATTAAAGTTGAACTACACATTTCTTTTCATTTATCGACTCAATTCGTTATTTTTTCATAATAATAGACCAAAATATAAAGTGATCTGTCACGCCGGTTGTACTTCTTGGTTATTGTTTTTGTTAATGCTATAATACTTCGTTATAGATAATTGAGGTAAATGATGTCATTCTGTAGTATTGGTTGATAAGTTAGTGAAAGAGATAAGGAAGTAGGTATTATACTCCTGTTAACCACTGAATGCAGTTCACAGAAGAGATGGAATGTGAAGTTTAGGAAAAATAAAGGAATTTAGAGATTACGAAAAAGACGGAGAATATAAATATCTATATATTACAATGAATATTTTTTTCAAAGGCATGAAAGGAAATAAAGTAAGTGGAAATTAGAAAGAAAAGAATGAATATATTGAGGAGGAAGAAATTGAATATTTATTTATTTATCTCTCAACCTGGGCAAAACATAAATTTAGAGGAAAAGAGAAACTATGAATTCTCTATATAATTAGTTATTCCATTAGATTATTGTATCCTTATGTTAAAAGGTTATACATTTCCCTTTGTTGTTTAAATATTATAAATATTACCACATATTTGCAAATAATGACAAACCAGTTTATAAATGTACTGCACCTTTTTGCATTCTCGTATAATCAACCAATAAAGAATTTTTATAATTAATTTCACTTCTTGCAAATTAAATACTCCATTTGTCATTCAATAGAATAACAACTCAGAAATGTTTGTGCATGTCGACAAAAATCATAGCTAATATATTTTTATTCATGTTAGTTTCCTTCAGAAGGAATTAATGAATCTCCCAAGTATATGGAAAAACGAACCATGGTAACCAGACAATTTTGACGAAGAACATTACTCACTGAATATATTATGCTCATCAACCTCCCTTCCCACTGTGTACAGCATTTAAGATACGATTTCAAGAGTTTCTACTTATACTTGGCTGACCGGAAGGCACGAGGTTTTATGCACAGATGTCGTTTTGTCTGTCATGCTGCGTCCTTGGTCATCGCGAATAGCATTTCAGCAGCAGCCAATCAGACACGGACTCTGACCACGGCAGCCTCCGCTTTCCCGACTTCCAGCTGCCCGCAAGCTGCGCCTGGCGTGTGCCTACCTGCAGGGTTGCGTGGAGGTGGTGGCGAAGGCGCTGCAGAAGGAGGTCGCCCAGCGGCCGGTCCAGAGGGGCCACGTCCTCAGTCGGCCCCACGTGCACCCAGCGCTCGCCCATGGCTCTGCCGGTCCGCCCCAGCGCGCTCGACCTCGCACACTCCGCTCAGCAATACACGCCCTCGCCGACGTCGCCTTCGCCAGACAAAGCTTGACCTTGCACACTCCGCACAGCTGCACACGCCCTCGCCGACGCCGACGCCGACGTCGCCTCTGCCGCGCTTCGCTCGGCGCCGCTCCGCTCCACTCTAATCGGCTGCGTCCCGCGCGCTGCCGCTTAAATAGCCCCGCGCCGCTTTATCACGTGCGAACCTGCGGACCTTCGGACCTGCAGACACTCGCACGCGATTCGCAGAGAGAACCTACGTCTAGACTATACAAAACTATAAATAGGAAACTATTTCGGAAGGAATGACGTAATCTTGACCAAATATTTTGAAGGATATAAGCAGACGTGGAAACGAGTGTGTTGGCTTCTATAATTTTTTATTTATTTACCAACTGTATACCCTATTAAGAGAAAAGGCCTTCTGGCCGGGCAGGGAATTATTAAAATGGGGAAATCTTAGTTTTAAACGTCCGTTACTGTGATTTCTTACTGATACTTCTCCAAATCGAAAATCTGTAAGCTCGTGGCACAACAGAACATACTTTCCTTGCATTATTGGTAACAAATAATATAATCTTGCCGCTGCAATAATTTTATTAATTAATTAATTAATTAATTTTATTTATTTATTTATTTATTTATTTATTTATTTATTTATTTATTTATTTATTTATTTATTTATTTATTTATTTAATCGTATTGAAATCTTCCTAGTTGAACACCACCACGACTTTAGACCTGGCTATTCTTGCGAAAGTCAGCTAGCGATCATTTGTCAACACATCGACAATTACCTCGAAAAAAGAAAAAGAATTGATACAGGTTTCAGGAAGGATCCATTACAAAAGCATCTGTGATGATTTTCATGAAGAAAGACAGGTCCAGTTATAAGGACAAAAAAAGCTTTGAGAAAATTGAGTTTAAATGTTACTTCGGGCGCGAAATTAAATCCAGCTGCCACGTTATACCCTGCACTACGAAAGAGGCTGGACGTTGCGTCGTTTCTCCACGTTTTCTATGATTGTCGATTGAGGAAAACATCGCTTGTCGACACTTGAGTACTTTCTGTTTATCATTTATATATGTATATTACTGTCATTTAGTGTATTAAATATACTTAAAATATTTTTGTTAATTATATTCATTGTATGCAGTGGCGAAACAATATAAGCTACTCGCGCTAAGCCTTAAGGAACTAACAAATTGCATGGAATGCTGGAATTGGTTTTGTTGCATATCTTCAGTGTGAATAAATGTTTTGTGTTTTAAGTAACCACGTAGGTAAATGATAGTCTCCTACAGGTAGCATTCAGTTACCACAAGTGTAAAGTTTCTCACCTGGAGTGTTTAATATTATGAATTTAGCGGGGGGAGATTTTTTGTATGAAGCAGAGGATTGAAATATTGCCTAGATATTAATATTTATCAGACTGTAACAAAACTAAATCTTCCAAATAAACAAATTCTAATCAAATAATAAAACTATAGATTTTGTTATAACAAAACTGACGAACTGATTTGAAATTTTCGAATGAATTTGTATGTTGAAAATCGTAATTGAAGTGTGAAAAAACAAGTTTTCATCAAAGTTACATCAATTTACCGGAAGTACTTCGTACAAATGAAAAAAAGTTATATAAGTTTAATTTTTTAACCGCATTACACCTATGAATATTGGCTTTAATTATCCTGAAATTTCCTATATGTGGTAAATATGTTATGAGATTTTTTCAGGCGTTGATGTTCGATTTTGACCCTTACAAACAACAAAAGGAGAAAATAGAAAAAAATTCTTCTTTTCTTCCTTTTTAAAGAAAATCTCATGTTCTGACGCATATCATTAAAAGAGTTAAATACAAATAGTAGCCCTGTAAATTCTCTACAGTTTCCCAAGTTTGGTTCTACATCGCTATGTGAAGATTTACCGTGTACCTGTAAGACGCAATAATTAATACTTGCTTCAACTGGTTTAACGTCACTAGACGCAAAAAGTTTGCCATCTACATCTAGGAGAGAATGTCACACGCGTCACATTTACGTCAGACACATTGAAGGACGAAGATTGTCATCTACATCCATATAACAAGATTCAGAATGTTGTAAGAAGAAGAAATGCCTGTGTGAACTGTGCAAATCTCTATTGATATAAGAACTAACATCTCAATTAAGTTACGATGATCCTTCTCACACAATACAGGCTAGGATTTGTAGAACCAGAATTAAATGAAAGGCTTTCCTAGAGAACTGTTGCTACATAAAAATATTGTTTCTTATGCTTTTCAAACACTGAACTATTTAATGTTCTTTCCCAAGCTTGTTTTTTTTCTGCGACGCGCGTTTTTATTTCGAAAGGAAATCGCAGTTGCGGTACACACTTAATTCGAACACTGTTGTTTACTGACCGTATGGATAATTTCAGAGCGTTTTCATACATGTGCCAAGAAGTGAAACAATAGTTAGCGTTATTATAAAATAATATGTCAAATCAAAGCTACGAAAGTATTCTGGTAAGGTACATAAAGTAGAAAAAATCATTATTTTTAGTTAAAATCTTCGTTACTTCTTAAATACTTCGGTCAATATTTAAATAACAATAGGTTAAAATATTATTCTTACATTTTAGATTTCATTATTTATATTTTCTAACAAACATAAAAGAAAAAATCTACAAAATTTAATAAAACAAAACCTAATTTTAGGAAAATAAATAAGAAACGATTAAACTACTATTTCATTTATATTGTGTTGTCTGGTGCATATTATAAGATAAAAGCTTGAACGTTTGGGGAAAAGATAGAAAATTAAACAGAGCTACAATTTAAATTTAGATCTTTTACTTTCTCGCTACTGCTTACGCCGTAGAGATAAAGTAAAGCTGCGCGAAAAAAGTAGAATGTTTGGCACAAAAGGCATATTACAGGGCTCTGGTAACAAAAAAGTGGATAAATCCAATTGCTAAATTTAGAAAAAATCTTTAACGCGCGGTGTGCCAGAATCCATTTTTTGTGGGTCCTTGATACCGGAAATTCGAACGACGGCAAATGTCTGTCTGCGCGCCTGTGAACAACGCTAGCGACTAAACGGTTCAACCGATTTTCTCCAAAACTGATATTCCCTAATAGAAATGGATGATGTCGCGTCCCTAGAATTTGAAATAGTTATTTTAATTTTGGGGGTATTTTATATGTAGCTCTTGGGGCATTTTACAAGTTTTGAAAAAAGTAACTCCATCGTTTGTGAATTAGTTTTGTTGTTGGGTAGTGTGAAGGACGTTTAAGAGAATGATGCACATCTCATGTTTGTTGAAAACCCTGATTTTCGAAATTTGCAAAAGTTCAAAATTATTCCTGACTCTTGTTACAACTCTAATATTAAACATATATAGTTTTTCCTTAATGAAATCTGTTCCTTAAAGAAATGTTTTGAAATCAGGATATGTACATTGTTTTGAAAATTTGAGTACTTTTTGCGTTAAAATGCAGACGAGCAAATAGTGCTGTTTTAGCGCAACTAATAATGATATGTCAGAACATGACACATCATTCTTAAAAATAAAAAAAAGTAATTTTGTTCTTATTTTCCTTTCTTTTGGTTAATATTAAAGGTCAAAATCGGAAATAAACGCCAGAAAAAACTGTCGAAACATCTTTATTATTTATAAAAAATTACAATAATGATTTAAGTCAATATTCGCAGGCGTAATGTGGTTAAAAATATTTAATTTATACAAGAAGCTAACAAACACGTTTTTTAATAGTACGAAATATTCCGGGTAAACTGATTTAAATCCGATGAATAACTTGTTCTGTACACTTCTATTACTATTTTCATCACAACACAATGTGTATCCCTGGGGGTTAATTTTGCCTATCTTATTCCGCTACCTCCTTTGTGTTTGAATTGAACCAAGATAGTTTTTGAAAGATAGAATCTGTATAAAAAATGTATCCTTTTGCTTCTGTTTCATTGTTGCTAAATTGGAAAAAAGAGATAAAACTATTTTCTGCGAAATCCATGTTGTTGTTTTTAAAATGACGTTATCTCCGAAACAATCTGGAGGTAATAGTGAAGTCTCCGGGACAAACCCGAAGAGATGGCAATTCGGGCAGTGCATGTGCACAACGCTCTCCCACATGTCTGCTGCTGATAGAAGTTGTTTTAACACCTGATTCAGTTACGCGTCGGTTTGAAGGGTTATTCAAGCGAAGCCGAAAACTGTCGGTTCGCGTCCCGTGTGAGACAAGGGTGTTTGCGTTAGTGATAATAAAATCTAATGGTGCAGTCCAGGTCTGCGCAGCATTTTGCACTTTGACTGACCTCGGGAGCCGCGCGCGAGCAAAGCGAGTGCAACCCCGGGCCGCGTGGAAGGGTGGGGATACGACTCATTCCGGGAGTGGGGACCGCCAATGAGAATGAACAATTCGAAATGTAGCGCGTCAATTGAAAGAGCAATTGCGAAAATGAGGGACTATTACATACAGTTCAAGTCTCATTACCTTTTATTTTGAAACTGTGAAATGATAATGTGAAATATAAGCCTAAAGTGAATTAGACGTACATATTTGATTAGGATACCAGTATTATAATTGCTTGTAGCCCTGATAATGTAATTTGCTTTGCTATGATGTAATCGCAAATTTAGCTAACACAAAATTGTAATTTATGACCTTTTTTATTTGATGATGACAGCAATCATTTTTATTAACTATATTGAATTGACTAAAACGGTTCTATCAGAGCTCAAATATCATGATTACTTTCTGCAATAATTTCCAACAATAGTACATTACGTATTTCTAATTTCAAATGAATGAACACTATTTATTCATAATCGTTTGTGACATCCTATAAAAAGATTAATTCCTTTGCGTTTTTTTAACAAGACTCATAATAATGCAATTGTTGACCGCAAAATATCATACAAGGCTCGCCGGAATATCTTATTCAGCTTCGTCATGAAGGGAAAAGGTCACAAATATGTGTACCGCCAAACATTACCTTTCTTGAAATTGCTTATATTATCTCGAAGTGAGAGACTTCTCTCGATTTCTTTTGTTTTGCTGTTATTTGAAGATTATAACATTCCTGAAAAAAAAAAATTATTAAATTGTAAATTTTTCTGAGGGAAAATTACCTAATACATTTTTTAAAAGAGACCACTGCTATAAAATATTGTTTGAGCTACAAAAAGCATAAAGTAAAAAAATAAAACAAGTAACAAAAGTCGATTCATAGCAGTTCACAGAAGAACATAAACTGTGAAATACATCCCTTGTAACTAGAAATATGGTAGACTGTCCATTTGAATAAGTGGGCAAATAGTTTCACAGCATGGATCATTGCATTAGACACCCAGGCAGCCAATCTACGGCCGCTTCGACCCCGCTCCGTCTTCTGTCCTCCACGCAAACTCTTTTCTCCCCACTACTTGCACTTTCGGCGTTCTCGCGGGCAGACGGCTGACTCGTGCAGAGTGCAGAATGCTTGCGGAAGCAGTTGGTGTGTAGGTCTTGTGTAGTCTGTGATCACTAAGGGGCCGATTTTAATGAAATGTATTTTTTCTTTTAATTTTAGACCGAGGTAGTTTAGTATTTACAATAATTTTATGTTATGACAGAAGTAAACGTCTAACTTTTTTTGCATTTTTCGTCGATTTCGACTAAGTCATATTTTACCTTTTCCCGTAATTGTAAACGTATTTTCACTGATTTCATAGATTTTAATATTACTTTAATGGTACTTGCTTCAAATAATTCATTCGAGATGCTACATACGTTCTCCATAAAATTCCTGAGTAGCCTATTCAATTTCTTCGCTCTTATAACAAATGTTAGCCGGACAATGAGTCCTACGTAATCTATGTTTGCTGTGATGCCTGTCAGCGCCATTGTCAGTTCGGCCGATTTCACTTTAAATAAAGGCAATTTTTACTGGTAAAGAACAGTCCAAACTAAACGTTTGCAAGATAAGTTCATTTAACTGAAAGGAAGAAGCCTCTGTTACATGAGTAACATTTACAACAGCTTGAGTTGTTCATCTAAACTGTTTTTGATCAGATTCTTTATGTCATTTTCTTTGCTTTTAGGTAATTTTTAAAAAGTGTTAAGAGGATTTTATATATCATTTTTGCGAAGTTTTAGGCAATAAAAGTCCGCCCCTTAGAGATCACCTTTCTCCTTCCGTGAAGTGAGGACTTAAAATCATCCTTCAATGGAAGAAATGAATTATTGCCAGTGATCACCGACTCATAAAGGGGGTAAATTTACTAAAATCTAGTATTCACATCCTCTTTATTGTAGAGCAGCCACTCCCCCCATCAGCACACTAAGGGAAGAGCACCAGTTTGTTGGTTATGAAGGACAATGTAAAATTATTGCCCAATATTATTAGAGGGGCGAAATATGTAAGATTATATTTCGAAAAATTTGTAGAAGATCAAGTAGGACGCTACCAGAGTTTCTACATACATCTGCGTAAGTGTATACCTGCGATAGAGCGATTTTTCTGATACTGTATTTTTTACCACTATATGTACTATACCAAATGGGTATTTATTATTTCATTGTTCATTATTTGAGTGAACCCCATATGTCTGATACGGCGATTTATCTTATTTACCAATACATGTATACCAAATTCTTATTTATAATTTTTTCCGTATTTTATTTCTTTATTGTATTTTAATGCTTGTTATTATTACCATCACAATCATCATTTTTCATTAATTAGTTTAGAGCTGTAGTGCCAATTCACTCAGTTGCCCAAGCTCTGTTGAACGCATTTCGTTCCTGCCTTATGCATTTTCTCTCGCTTGTTTCCCGTGCAGGTGTCCTTGAACAGCCCGGAGTAGTCGAACAAAAGCGATCGTCAACTGTTTTGAACGGGTAGTTACCGGAGGGAGAAAAGTGCTGGGAAGTAGGGGAGAGGTATATTTGCTGGCACCGACCGCTGAATTCATCTCTCTGCGCATGAGCAAAGACGAAGTGAACTATGATTGGCGCAGACTTTGTATCTTTGTTCTGCTTTAAATTCCTTCATATCCCGGCGACTCCGCGTGACGTCCGCTTGCTCAGGTGAATGTGCGGTGAAGTGCAATTTGATTTTGAGTTTTAATTACGTTTATACATTTGTATTCCCGTTCGAAATATGTGTTATTAATATTTTAAATCGTTGTTGAGGTATTAGTTAAACTAATTGCACGAAAAACAGTGAATGAGAATAAACTGTGTGCGAGTTAAATTGGAGGCGCACTTAGTGTCACAGCGTCAATATTGGAAACGTAAGTAATAGCAATTTTAATAGAAATTTCTCAAGTTAGCAAATTTTAATTTATTTTGTATACAAATTATGTCGAACTATTGTGTGAAATTGCTCGTATCCGATACCATAATTGTGTCTGGGGAAGGAATGCTTTTGGGTATGCATGTGATACAATAATATTCGAAGTCTACGTTGTGATGTAGAAATAAATTTCATCGATTCGCCAATAGCCTAAGGAAGTGTGGACGCAATGTTTGTGGCTGATTTAATATCATCTATATTGAAAAATGCTAGTCTTAGCAACGTAAGCGATATGAATTTCTCCCATCAAAATCTTTAACTATAATAATGTGCGGGTGTTGAACAAACTTGTAAAACTGTTCGTATCGTATAAAAACATTATATCATCGTAAAACTCCAGTTGATTGTCATTTGATTTTCGTTCTATCAATTCATTGACGTTTCAAATGAAAATAATCTCCAAATATTTCAAAAATAGTAATAGTAGAAGTGATGTATTGTGTTAGTTATTTTAATAGTAGGCAAAGAGGAAGAAAGTTTTAAGTGATGTCTAAAGTGCACATAATTACAGCCATATTGAAATATTTTGGTAGATTGAACAACGAAAGTAAATGTATTATAATTAATTTCTCGTGTACAGGTACTGCAGAAGTAATGTACTTGCGACGAGTCAATTCAGAATTTAACTTAGCAAAAGTAAATTTAATAATGTAAAAGCATTTAACATAATTGCAGGATCTGTTTGTAAAAGTAAATTACACAACGGGTGATGTGAAGTTAAATCTCTATTCGAAGTTAACATTTTACAAACAAAAAGTGTAGACTAATGTATACTGTAAAGAGTTACAAAACGCTTAGATCTTTATACGTAGCTTTAATACACGATTTAAATTAAGTACTTTGTTGCGTACAAATTTTTTCATATCGGATACTACTTTTAAGATGTAATGATTTCTCTTGAATACTTGCAGAAGGACAATTAAACCTGCAGAGCAGCTTCATTCTGGTGATCTACTGTCCGAATCTGTGAATGTGAGTTAGTTTTTTTCAGATAACTAGCGTTTTGTAGATAGAATTTGTGCATATCTGAATGCCTGTTTGAAGACCAATGTTACTACTTGTAAATGTATGCACGAGATTCAGTTTTCAAACTAATCACCTACAATTTTTAAATGTTCTTTTTTATGCTTTTTAGGAACAATTTGATTGTAATCGAAACCGCGTTAACAGTGTCCACTTTTATGTCCACTTTTATTTTTACCAATAGTTAGTAATTTATGTCTGACTAATGCTGGGATGCGTACCTAAGAGATTAGAACCAATAGCGAAACCGAAAACCAATAGCGAAAAAATAAACCTTTAATAATTCGTATAGTGTAGATTATACGTCTTCTAGAATGAATAAAATTTAATTTAAAATTTATTATTATTATTATTATTATTATTATTATTATTATTTTATTGAAATCCGTAAATATGTAGATTTTAATTAAGGTATTATTAAACCATCCTATTACAAAGGGCGTTCAGTGTGTATTGTAATCGTTGAGTGGCAAGCGGTGGAGGCCATGGCGAGTGGTTGGTGCTTCCGTTCGTGAGCGGAGGTTGAAAAGCCTCTCTGCCTCCGCCGTCCCCACACACTCGCATCTTCCCCTCAGCCGCGCCCAGCAAACCATGTACCACGTTTGGTTAAAATCCCAGATTTTTTCCTCCCAGAATGAAGTTGGCACGAAGATTTGTTTGTATCGCGCCGTGGGCGAAACGCGGTTTCTCGTGCTGGTTTTCTGTGTGCGAAACATTACGAAACGTATGCGAAACATCTGTTACTATTCGTAATTTGTCTTTCGTCATCATGACATTTATTTATCTATTTATTTATTGCTTACTATTTATAAACATTCGTATTATGCATCTGACTGGAATGCATTTACTTTTGACAGGGGCGAACCCAGAGACAAATTTGGGGAGGGAAAATTCAAAATATTTTCGTCGAATATGTTATGTTACAGATTTTATGAAATGTCGCAGGGTACACTCATATCATGCTGCGATATACTTTTCTTCGTATTAATGATAATCCGAAAATATTTTCATTAAGTCTTGTGACAGGTTAAAATTAATAGTTGCTGGAAAATTTTAGGGGGGAGGAATTTTCCTAATTTCCCTCCCCGTGGATCCGTGCCTACTTTTGTGACTATACAATGGCAGGTATAGAATCCGTGAAAATTCTGTGGAATTTACTAATTACTGAGCTGATGGCAATTCAAATCTCAGCCTTTTCTTTTCAAACAACAATTAACATGTATTACAAAATTAGCACGACATTCTGAGATCATTATTAATGAATGGTTCTATGGCCCTGAAACATTACTAAACCGTACGAATACGATAAACGTTCGAAATGTTTTTTTTCAGTCGATTTGATGCTCCATAATGGGATTTTCTGGGTCCTCCTGTGTAATTCATGTGCCTATCGACCGCGTAAACTTTAAATGTTTCCCGACCGTTTCTAACTATTCAGTCCGCTATTCGGAAATTCCTTTATCTGCTTCAATGTTATCGCGGCGCAACTTTCACTTACTAGGTTTCGGGCGAAACCCCTATTCATTACTATTTTTTTCAAATTAATAATTTATAATTACCCTCTACGGGATTATCGTCATGCACACCCTCGAACACGAATAAATATTTAAAATGCAAAAGTTCCCAAACTACAACAAATGTTAACTACATATCATTAAGAATGAAACATTTATCCACTCTAGCCCAAATACACAATACTACTTTGCCTATACTGTTATGAAGTATTCAATGTGATATTTACCCACAACACAAGTTTATTACGGCAAAATTACTATGTCGCGATGTTCATTACCATCCGATTGGTTCGACTGCTTCCCTGAGTGAGAGAATTTGTTTCTGCTCGCACGACTTACAACGCCCTCTTCTCATTAATTCCAGGTTAATGCCACCAGGCCGTGCCGTCCCTCGACCTTTCGTTCTATGCTCGTTGCTATGCTGTGCGTATTCCTTGGATTCTAATATTCTCGATGCATCAAAATTCCGTCGTTCAAGGTTGAAGTCATTTTTCTAGTACACCCGTGTAGCAATTGACTATTACAGTAGCATATATCTATATGAAATATATAACTTACTCTAAAACAATGTATAATCAGAAACCACGTTTTGTGTTCTTGTTATCTTACAATTCGCTGAAGGCAAGACGTCTGACCGCCCGTGTGTAATCACAAGCGCCTATATTTTCTCCAAAAACTGAAATCGATCTGACCGAACCAAAGAACCTGCAAATTTAAAACGGATGTTTTCATTTTTGTCGGTACCTTTCGTAAAGCCTGAACAACATTTTCAAAGTTTTCTAAAAAATGGCTCCAAGTTTCTGAAAACATTTTTTATGGATAGACCAAAGTACGCTTAAAAAAGAAGTTACCTTTGTTGTCAAATTTTCGAAAATTGCAAAAGTTCACAATTTTGTAGGCATCTTCATACAGCTGCGACATTGTAGATATATTTTTTTCTGTAATGCAGCTCTTTAAGGTCACTTACAATGTTTCAAAGATTGAATAGTGTGCATAATTTTGTATGCAATATTACCAATTAAAAATATTTTCTCAAAGCAGTCTCCAATTTTTGTTCTTTGATTATTTTCGCGAATGGAGATAAGTACTTCTATAAAACTTACACACGCCCAAGTTTGAACTGTCTGTAATTTTGAAAATTGCAAAAAATGTCATTGAAAAAGAACAAGATTTATAAAAGGTTCTTTCCGTGATTAAATCTTTTTTATAAAAACGGTTTTTTAAATCAATTTTTATTAACATTTTTGAAAATAATTTTTTGCGTAATGTTTGCTTGAAATGAAAACAATTGAAGAATAATTACTGGAAAAGGGCTTTAAATCTTTTATTTAGTTTTTTTTCTGGAGTTGACAAAGTTTGCTTACAAACTAGTGGAGGTTCCATTTTTGTTGAATATTCTGAATAATCAGGAATGCCAAAAGTTAGAAATAATGCGAGAAGGTATGGGCTGTTGTAGAACGTTTAGTTTTAATCATTATTTTTAACACAAAGTATCAATTCTGAAGGTCAGTTTTCCAGATAATGTAGGTTTGTCGTGTAATAAAGAAGTGTTGTTCTGATATACACTGTCACTTGAGATTTCTGCTAATTGTTATAAAAAACTAATTCGCGAAATTCGCGTCTTTTCTTCGCGTAATATATACTGTGTTAAAGAACTGTAATGTTTCTTTTACTCCTCAGATCTTAATATCATGGATTTTCCTCATCCGAAATGAAATGAATACAAAATCATGATTTTATCAAATGTAACTAAAGAAAGTTTTCATATCAAACTAGTATTATTAATAGTATTTTTTAAAATTGTCATTATAGTTTTTATATTCTATACTTCCTCTCCCGAAGCGCCGCGACTAGGTAAAAACATCACAGAGCTCCATACCCTGTTCTTCTCGACCCAAGTCCCTGACCTCGTTCCCGGCCAGCACCAACCGGTTATGAGTTCCGTAGTTGAAGTTGGTTAAATTATGATTGGGGTTCCAGAAAATACTTTCCTTAAATGTCATTGACCTTATCTAGGATATCTAGGGCTGGAAGATAATTGCATGACGGGGTACTATCTAGACCTAAAATTTCAATTGGATCAATTCTTAGTTAGAAGATATTAAATCTCATTTAAAGAGATTCGCTTTAATAAAGCTTTTCAACAATAAAGGACAATTGTGATGTTTATGCTGACGCTAGAATTAAAGTGGATGTAGCCATTATTTTTTATACAAAATTATTTTCAGCCGCATAGCGGCCATAGTCATTTTGCTGCAAAATTGGCATTTTGCCTATAAGAAGCAAAAACTGAATAGACTATATCTACTTTAATTCAGTAATAGAACTTTAAACAATAATACTGTCCATTTGTAAAATGAAAAGGTTTCGGCGTTGTTCAAATAACGCTCTGAAGGCACAATTATACATTAATGGTAACATACTTCATCAAAATATCGTTACTACTAACATCAGAGATTACGTACAATGCTATTATGAAAATATATGATATATTTGTTTCTCGCTCCTTATTTAGATAACACACATATTCACCTTCCATCATTTCTATTTACAAAATTGTCATTCTTATTATACATCTTAAAAATATTGAAGTGAACAAGTACTTATTGATACTTGAAAATTATACAATCTTGTCGATCTCCATACGAAATTTCCATGTCCACTCGTTTATATAATTCAAGTTGTGGCGCATTCAACAATTAATTTCCAAGTAACTGTGACTTTTTCAACAACAGAATTGGCCAATAGAACACCACAAACAGAAGAAAGAATACTGGAAAAATAATTCTGGATTGATGATCTATTTCCCTCCATAGAACTTTCTCCTGGCCAGTCCGGCGATCTATCCAAGACACTTGGATGAGTCGACGATTTCTTAGGTTGGTCAGACTGGATTTCCTGCAGCGCACCCCCGCCGACTCCACGTCCCACGCCGCCACACAGTGCGTCTTGTCCATGGCCTGGATCCGCTGCTGGAAAATGGAATTCGAAAGTTACACTCTTATTACTTTTACTTATCTATTTGCTAGCATAGCGTGCGCCTCCAGCGGGTACTTTCATGTTAAAATAGTTGTTTTGCAGTAAGGGCGTTACAAGGGTTGTAATGAGCAAGCGGAGACAACACCCGAGGGATTTTAGTTGTCTTTAATCACTAGTACTGTGCTAAATACAAGCTTTTATTTTTTTACCTAGGTTTAATGATTGATTTATTTACGAGTATTTATTAGATGTTAAGCTCACTTGGTTTGTATTTTCATAGTTTCATCCCATAATTCCCTCGATTAGAGAACATACAGCACTGTTCAACTGTTTTCCTATTTCCTTCGTAACCATAATAAAAACATATGGGTGAACATTTGCGTATCGTATCCGACTTCAGCCAATGAGCTTTAGGCTCCAGTATGTGTCACAATATTAGCGGGAATTATAAATGCAGCCAAAGCAAAATTATCTTGTTACAAGTCAATAAAACAGATACATGACGCGTTTAGAAAACCTTCATTTCTTATTTCAATTACACGTTCATCGTGATATTTTTAGTTGGTCACCGTGGAAGATTATCACTTTATAGCACTTTTTAAATGTTTCTCAGCACTTCTCGCTCTCCATGCAACATGGCGGCCAGCGTCTGGTGTGGCTTTTTAAACGAAGTGCCCGTGTGGAGGTTCGTGACGTAAACTGGAGCTACGCAGAACGAGCAAAAATGGGGGCGCCAAACTAGCACACCCATCTCTTTTCATCGCGCTTGTAATCACAATCTCTAACTCTATCGTGCTTACGAGCGTGAAAGTTATCCAGTGTATATGGACGTAAAAGTTGAGATCCGTATCGAAGGCAATAACAAGCAATAACGTATCAGTAAAAAATAAAATTAATTTGTGTTTTCATTCAAGTTCACTATAATAGTAGTCAATGTAACAAGGGCGCGAAGCAGGTGTTTTACGCACGAGTATAGTTTGTTATCCTCTCTACGCTCGGACGACAAAGAGATGAGTGCGGGAATCACCTAGCGCCCCGTGTTGGTTATTCGTACTATTTTTAACACAACGTGAGCGAAACGCAATGCGTCAAGTAAATTAATATAAATTATGTACGAAAACTTGAAATAATTTACTTGTGGATTCCAGTCAGTATCGTAAGCCTGTATATAGAATTGTATTAAACTTAGTTTTAATTCATTTTCGTCAATTGCTTACGATTTATCATAAATTAATGTTCTGAATTTGGGAAATGATATTCCCATCATTCCATGGAGATGTTACCCGCTGTTTGTTGGGGCGCCAGTCGCCACTGGTAACAAGGGCCCCAAAATGTGGTTTCTAACTATACAATTTTCTGTATGCTACATTAAATAGCATACACTTCCCACTTAACGTCGTGGTAACTGGGTAATTACTAGTCATTTTAGGATCCAATGGGTTCCCTGGACTTCCCTAAAGGACATTGAAGTTTCTTTCCTGCATTTACTACCAGCAATGCTAAATTGCTCCATCGTAATTTACAAATTCTGTGTAAAGTTTAGTAGAGCTTCTGAGAAGAATTAGCCGGATAGTCAGTAGATCGCCTCGAGAATTGATCCCCAGGGTCTTGAGCGCACTGACTGTGAATCTTGGCATAGCCTCAGAGGTTCCAACCACCACTGACAGGATTCTGGCGTTGGGTACTCCATGAAGTTGGGCTGCCAGGGGGATGACTGATTGGTATTTTACCAGCTTTTCCTCCCCTGCTTTCAGAAGGGTGCACCTATCCTCGTGTCGAACAATCACATACACCACGTGGACCCCTTCCCTCCTTTTTATTACCAGGTCAGGTTTGAGTCAAATCCCTTCGGCAACGGAAAAAGTGGCTTCCGTGGACACCACGGTGTCCGATTTCCGGAGCATCTTCCCTTCTATGAAGTTCTTGATCTCGTCATGACGCTTTATTCTTGCTGGCTTCGTAAAAATGCACTGATCGAAGATTGATTCATGGTTTCTACCGCTGTATTGCACTTCCTGCAGTAAACATCGCCTCTGAGCCTTCCCCTACTAAGAGTAGTTTTATTGGCAGCGGTATTTCATCTCAATTGGAGTGCAGTGATAAAAAGACCAAGTTTCAGAAGAAGATAATCTTTCAAAAAGGCATTTCCAATCGAATCGTTTATATGCGCTCTAACCGCTCTCCCTTGTGATCCCAGTTTCTCCCAGGCGGCTCCCTTGTCTTTGGCGCATTTCTTCTTTTAAGCTCTTAAATTTTGTACAGAATAGGGCCAGTTGAGTCTCAATGATTTTGCGGTCTTTAGTGTCCGTTGGTAAAAACTGTGACAGGAGCTCAACCATCTGCAAATAGGATCTGCCGATTTTTCTAATCGTAATCCTAGGTTCAGCGCAACTCTAGGAACTTATTGGGCGAGCCGCAGCAATACCAGTCCTCAATCTCTCTTGGCCAGATATAATAAGCCATCTGCAGTAGTCATATGCAGATGTAGGAAGTGTTCGACTGCCACTCTGATTTGACCGTCCGCTTCCCTGAGCATCGACATTGATGACATGGATAGAACCAATTAATAACGGTAATGTGGCATTATGTAGGTATGAAGTATGTATCCCCCTTTTGAAGCCTCGACACTGCTTCCATTAAATTCGATATGAATGCTTTAGATGGGAAGCCGTTCCAGATAGAGTAGTTCACTCCCAGGTATGTAAGCGTATGATCATTGCTGACAAGGGGAATTATCTCCCTAACCTTTCCAGACGGGGGGTCCTCAATGAACCAAGATCGTTCAAAAGTTGTTATTTGAAATGATGAACATTTCGCGGTGGACAATGTCATTTCGAGGGCCCTAAGATATTCCACCACAATATCAACAAATTCGTAAGCTCCTGGAGCATCTTTTGCTAACAGCACCGTCAGCAAATACAAACACGAACGCACTCCTTACCAATAGGCTGTATCCTGATATATTTTCCAATTTCTCAAGCAGGCACTCCATGATGAGATTAAAAAGAAGTGGGGACAAGGGATTCCTCTGTTTTACTCCTCAACGAATTGGCACCTCAATTCCTTTCGAGGGGTGCTGAATGACGGTGGAAACATCGGCGTAAGAGACCATTACCAAATTCGTAAAGGCGTCAGGGATTCATTTCCTGGACAGAACCCACTGAATCACCGTGTGACAAACAGTGTCAAATGCTATATCTAGCACAACACCTACTCCACCTTCTGTTTTTTAATGTCACTGACTGCTTCATGAAGAATTTGAATATTAGCGAAATAGCCAGGTTCAGGGATAAACCCTTTCTGGCGTAGATTGAACTTCACCTCGGATCAAATAAGTTTGTCCATAATGCCTCAAAAGATTCTGCACAACAGAGAACTAATTGTGATGGGGCAATAGTTAGTGACCACCGTATTATCCTTACCCTCTTTTGATATAAAGATGATGCGATTAGTTTTTCACCCAGAAGGCACAAAGCCACTGTATAAAATTTGGGTGTACAATAGGGACCATATTTGAATTTTTTCACCTGAGTATATGTGGCTAACTTATCAGGTCCTGGAGCCGTGGAATTTTTCATCCCAGCAGACTTTTAATTTCGGCAACTTGCACCGCGTATAGAATTGTGTCTGGGTCCATTTCAAGTGTCAACAATTTATCACCCTCTCTTAATTCGGAAAGCCTAATCTGGGGCGTATTACCCCAGATAGATTTGTACAGGTCATTAATCTCATCCCTGTTAAGGGACTGTTTATCGACACTAGTACAGCCCGTTCTAATGCCCTTTGCCAAAACCGCTGGATGATTATTGAAAACGTCCTGTGCCCATGCATAAGAGTAGCGCTTCCTAGCGCGTTTGCCTCCATGTCTACGGGGCCTTTTTGAAGTGATGGTGGTGGGTACAGAGGAGCCGCCCAAGATATCCACTAACTTAACGTAGGTCCTGGGATAACATATTTGTTTTGAGTTCATTTCCCACCTCAATGAGCTTTTGATCTACATTAGTTTTAGAAGTGCCCCAGTTTTCTAACCAAGTTGAAACATTTTCCTTCCAGTTAGGCTTGGATTCTAGGGTGTCTGTTAAGACAAGTTTCAGTAGTTACGTCTCCGGGCGTCATAGCAACCGAGGATTCAATAAAAGTTTCGTCCTGTCCTAACCAACCAGCGGTGTCAGATTGAGCCATGTCAACAGCAGATAAAACAGAATCAAAGAGGACGGGCTTAGCCGAAAGATCCTGATTCATCTCTGAAACTAAAACGGCCTCCTTGTTAGGGGATGGCCCCCAATCTGCTTCCGGGGAGGCAATGTATTCTATTGCGATTTCCTCAGGGCCACTGCCTATGGGCCGAGGTTTTGGAAGGGAGTTGGTATAAGGATTTTGCTTATCTCGATCTGTAAAGACGTTTTCACCCCCTTTGGACAGGTGTCAGAAAAGGGGATCATCGGCTTCCTTACTGTACCAATGGAAGGCCTTCGATACAGGGGAGAAGAAAAAATCAGCATCGGGATTTGGCTTACTGGAGTCTTCGGGGAGTTAATGACCCTGTGAGGCGATGCGACAACAGCAGTACTAGTAGAAGGTCTAGATAAATCATCGGACCACCGACTGTCAGATGGGGACGAAGATGACTCTGCAGTGACGGTAGCTGCAGTTTCAATGGTTGCTAATTATCTTCGATATGTAGTCCCTTCTTTTTTCTCCCACCTGTCGGGCGGTCTTACCCAGCTGAACGGCCAAATTCTCGTTCGACATCTCTGGTTGCTCTCCAATGCAGCCGTTTTCATAATTTCCTCCGAAGAGAAGACTTTCCCTGCTCTACGCACAGCAGTCTTACCACTACGCTGCGCCTTGGCAGCTCGAGCCCTATTAGCTGCGTCTGGATGAGCATGGCGCAAAGGTTGTGAGAGTCCTGATTTGGTTTCGAAGTTGGCGCATAACTCGCATATAAAGTCTCCTTTAGATTCTTTCAGACCCGGGCACTTAGGGAAATGACTCAAAACTGATAGCTTGCTTACCTTTGTAATTCTTGCTGCATTTGGAGCATGAAAATTTTAAGGTGATATCGCTATGGATAGTATCGTGGTGCCAAACCATGTTATTCAAATCAGTGGCCATGTAGCCACCCCCTCCTTTCTGGGCACAATGTGCGCAACGACTCGCCTCGAAGGGAATCCTAATAATGAACCGTTCCAAGCTAGGGACGTCATAAAAGGTTGTTCACGGGGCGCGCCGCCATGCGCACCCGCGTCCGAGGCTTTGTTAACAATGTCCGCTGCCAGTCGCTCCGAGGAGCACGACGGGGCCGTGACCTGCAGACCCTCGACCCCCTTCCCCCGTGATGTGGGGTCCCCGAGATGGTTTTTCTGTCAGGGATTTCCTTCCCTTAGCTTATTGCTCCCGTTTTAAGGCGCCGGAGACTCGCCTATTGCCCATCCATCTTGGCTGGATCTCAAGTTGCCCTGAGATGTATTACCAGTGGTCACCGCGCGGAGGTGAGAGTAGACTTGTCGGCCAAGCAACGGCAAACCCATTACAGGCGGCTATTACGGCCATACGGTTGCGATCCCATTACAGAAGGGCTTCTCAGTACTTACTGTGGTAGGTTTACTAGCACCGCCTTCACCACCGAGATCCTGAGAGACATCGGACCCCCAAAGGAAGTAATTTAGTACAAATTGGATCAAAATTTATTCCCCCTTTCGGTTTCAGATCCGGAATTTGACGTTTTCTGTCGAAAACTTGCCGTTTTTGCCGCAGCATACAATAAATACTATGAGTACTACGCAAGAAAAATAACTTTATTGTTGACCAAAAAGAGTCATCATTATTATTATTATTATTATTATTATTATTATTATTGGCGTATAGGCCATTGCTGACCACGCTGCACGATTAACGTGTGTAAGTCTTCCAGGATCAGCTTTTCAGCTGTATCCTTGGATTACAACAGGGTTATTACGCCTTGTAGTGTGACTTATGAGATGATAGGATGATGATAATGATGATAGGTGAAGGGACAATCACAAATACGACCATGTCTACGCAGGAGTCGAACCTGCAGACTCCTCGGCACAGACGACGGCTGCCGCAACCGTTTGCGCCACGGGGACGACTCAATATTATTATTATCATTATTATTATAATTAATTGTTATAATGAAGAATATGTAGTTACATTTCTAATTTGTTACTAACCTTACTTGAATACTTTTTGTATACAGTTCAATTTGAGTGTGTAGCGTACATGTCTTGAAATTGCGCCGGCGCGGTGGTGTCGCAGAGCGCCACTCACCATGGGCATGATGCGCGGCACGGAGGCACGCGAGCTCTTCTCCGCCTGGTAGCGCACGTCCAGCACCTTCACCACCACGAACTCCCCCAGCGCCGCGAACACGAACACCATGCACCCGGCCATCCACAGGTCCAGCGCCTGCGACACACCAACACGCACACACACATCTATATAGGCATGAACACACACACAAGGCCCCGCGGGTGCCCCTCGCCGGGACCGAAACAGGGTGGGCGGAGCACCGGGGATTCATTATTTCGGACGCGACACCGGCTGAGGTCGTCGGTCCCGGAAGTGTAGTGCGTGTTTTCCTCGGGAGGGGGCGATGATCTTTGTGGGTGAGGATGGTGAGATATGGTACCGTCGGGTAGCGTCACAGGTGCCCCTCGCCGGCGCCGAACCACGATGAGCGGAACACCGGGGATTCATTATTTCGGACGCGACACCGGCTGAGGGCCTCGGTGCCGGAAGTGTAGTGCGTGTTTTCCTCAGAAGGTGGCGATGATCTTCGTGTGTGAGGATGGTGAGATATGGTATGGTTCTACACGTCGGGTAGCGTCACAGGTGCCCCTCGCCGGCGCCGAACCACGATGGGCGGCACACTGGGGATTCATTATTTTCGGCGCGACTTCGGCTGAGGGCGTCGGTCTCGGAAGTGTAGTGCGTGTTTTCCTCGGGAGGTGGCGATGATCTTTGTGGGTGAGGATGGTGAGATATAGTATCGTTCTACCCGTCGGCTAGCGTCACAGGTGCCCCTTGCCGGCGCCGAAACAGGGCGGACGGCACACTGGGGATTCATTACTTCCGGCGTGGCGATGGTTGAGGTCGTCGGTTCCCGAAATGTAGAGCGTGTTTTCCTCGGGAGGTGGCAATAATCCTCGTGTGTGAGGTTGGTGAGATATGGTACTGTTCTACTCGTCGGCTAGTGGGGAGTTTCAGTGACCAGGTGTCTCCCGCCTACGCGCACCGCCCCAGCCGGGACAAGCTCTAAGCTCCCGACTGGTCACCCGGCATGTGTGGTAGGTTAGTGCATGTTAGTGAGTATGTGTAAGTAAGGGGTGAGGATATGACAAGAAAGAGGAAGGAAAGATTTCGCGCGGTCCGTGTTACGGTAATGGTATCCGCCTGGTGTTGACCCGAGAATCCACGAAAAACTACTGGCCAGAGCAACTGGCCGCTAGATGTCTTTTCTAGACAGTAGCTGAATTGAAGTACGTCAAAAATCCTGCCATCGTCGGGGTTCGATCCCTAGAAGGTCAAACACACTGCAGTGACATCAGCTCATGCACTGAGCCGCCTAAGCCGGTAAAACACCAGATGATGACCAATTGACTAGAAGTCAGAAGCAAATGACTAATGTGTAACTTTTTACATGAACTTTCCTAATACATGTTCTTGGCAACAAGAAAATCTGGATCCCTTATATGACCTCGATGTGTGTAACATCAAATACTATAGAGACAATACAGGACACTTCCCCGTTTTTCCACGCAACCGATGGAAACAAGTTCCCACTAGCGCTCCTAGTGTCAGAATCTGGTACTTCAGCGCCAAATAAAGACATCAATATGATTCTTACGGAAGAAATACATTTTTTTAAATTGACGTAACGAAATAACTCATTTTTCCTACTTTTTCTGTGACTTAATTATATTGAATGGCTCAAATTTCGGAAAATAATTATGTACAAAAGAGATGTTTTATATATTTCAAAAATAAAATGGTTACAAATGCAAGATTTTTGTTGCCGTAACACTTCCAGTGATTCTTTCCTTATTTTTTTTCATTTGCTTTCTTTAAAAAGCGCTGTATCAATACCTCTGCTTACATACAAATTAATACACTCCTCACATAGAATATTTTCCAATTGAATATTAATGATTTGCATTAAATTTTTTTGACCTCAGGTTTACTGTGACGTAAACAATTTAAAAAATCTCTATCAAAATCATACTTAATCTTAGAAAACAAACTAATAGCTAATTCATTTGGGTAGAAAAGAGGGGCATTCACATACTGCTAAGTCAGAAGATGAAAGTTTATTAATTTATGCTTTTCATCTACATTGGATAAACTAGTTTTACGTGAAGAACGAACGCCAGTTCTTTTGAATTTCATATTTAAAACAGCGAAAAACTGCACAAAATTTTTCTTGCCATAAGGAAGGATGCCAAGAACAGAATTGTAAAATAAGTTTTCCAGAAATTGGCCAGAAAGATAATCAAATTTTAAAAAATCGAGCAGAATACAAACATCAACAGAGCACTGAGCTTAGGCTGTATGAGTTTTCACCAGATACTGCCACTAGATGGAGCTGGCATCGCTGTTTCTCGATATATCGCGAAGTGTCCTGTATTGTCTCTATAGTATTTAGTAGCATGTCTTAGACCCCATGGAAGAGCAAGTGTGTGCGCTCGTCTTGACGTAGGCAACGTGCAGGATGGCGGACTCGAGGCCAGTGAGCATGGAGGTGACGAGATCACGTGTGTGCGCTCACCTTGACGTAGGCGACGGGCGGGATGTCGGACTTGAGGCCGGTGAACATGGTGACGAGGGTGAGCATCGAGGTGACGAGCAGCGTGACGCGGCCCGGAATGGCGTCCAGCCCGATCCAGAAGCTGAACCACGAGAGCATGACCACCAGCGCGCTGGGCGCGAACGTTTGGATGAGGTGGTGGCCGATCTGCCGCTCGAACCGGAAGTACAGCACCAGGCGCGAGAAGTTGGCTGCAACACAGTCAGCTAATGTGAACTCCTCATCCTTCTTTATTTACTTGGCTCTCCGGGTGACGCCGCGTCCATGGCGAAGGTGCCGACGTTTCGGTCGCCATTCTGCGAGCTTCCTCAGGGCGTAATGAAGAAGGTCGCAGAATAGCGACCGAATACTGACTCCGGCCGCGGAATTATACGCTTTTTTTTATCCTTCGACGAATTTGAACCCTTGCTCGAGTTTCCGAAGCGCGCGGAAATTCAAACCAAGCTACGCATCCTGACTGTGTGAGAGGGTCAGTTTTATTACATACCTAAGAAGAGTGGAAAATATTCAAAACGGTTACCATTTTGTCTGACAAATGTTACTATTTGATCACAATTTCTCGTACCTGATGTTATTAGTTCAGGAAACCGTCATTAGCAAGAATTCGCTTAACACGTATTTCGCCGTAAGACCAACAGAACTTGGGTCCGGTAAGAGATTAAAATAATGGAGTTATAATAATACGGTAACGCGAATTTTGATAACACGAATTCCGATAATTTAGGGCTCTTGGAATTCGATCTGGGATTCGTTTGTATTGGTAGGAGACACTAAGTAAAACTACAGATTAGAATAACCAGCCACTACAATTCTCTTCCAGACAACGTCTGGATTCGTGCATATCAAGTGATTTTATTATAGTGTCTAAATATAAAAATGTGCTCATCAAGTAAATGGCAATATAAAAACAAATTGTCTTTGGCATTCTTTGAGCACGAATTATTGAATAAAATTACTGCACGTAACAAGATCCTATCTGATTATATTTTCTATGCTGAAGTTAATTCCGACGTAAAACTATGTGTAATACATAAAAATAAATGTTGGTAAAAACGTCAACATGAATTACTACTTCAATGCCCACAACATCTTAGTTGCAGCTCAATGTAATATAAAATATTAAGTCCTAGTAATTCCTATATTGCAAAATACGAAACGGGTACCAAAATTAGTAAGATGTGCATATTTCGCCTTGCAAACAACTAACGCTGATTTGCTACTATCGCCGCGATCACACTCCAAGAACTACGTATTTAGTGTTAACTGAAGACTTCAGAAAGCATTGTTCTCGTATCAGGTTTTTTAAAGCAATTCAGCCCAATTCCAGGCTGTGCGATCAGCCCGCATGTTTTAACTCGGAATCACTGGCAAAAGGGGGGGGGGGGATGTCCTCATGGATACAAGGATTTGAAAAACGACAGAGTTGCAACGCTAACATTCACTGGTGTCGTGGTGTAAGGACAGTATGCGGAGCGTATTTCGCCTTTTTGTTCGAAGTTGCTTATTTGCGCTTATCTTCGCCATAACGCACTAACCGTTACATTTCAAGAGTTCGTCATGTATTAATTGAGTACTTCCGATGTCTCCTCTGTGGAATCAGGATTTTTTGAAGATATTCCTTTTAATTTGCGGGCGAACTGCCGGGCTGCAGAAGTTAACCTGGAATTGCCATAAACGTTTATTCGCGTGAGAACTGTGAGATTTGTAAACCAAGGTCGGTTTTACCACACTAACAGAAAAGTGGGGAAGCTATGATGTAGTGTAGTACGCAGAGAGCTCTTCTGCTTGTAATCCGACTGCGCGATTGATGTGCATGTAGAATCTACTCAATCGTACACCAACAACGGATGGACTCGGATCTAAGTCGTCCCAGACAACATTTTTGGCAAAAATTAGATCATCCACAGTATACATACGTGCCATATCTAGAATTATATTTTGTGGTAGTATAATGTTATTAGTGAAAGAAATTACGGTGCACTACGGAGATGTATGTGCTTTACTCCGAGAAAAGGAATGTCGGACTGAGTTGATCTCATTTTTCAGAAATAACTGGATGTTGCACGTGTCGTGTAGAGAAAGGGTTCCCAAAGGGATCGCAATCGACCGCGTTGTGAGTCGATAAAAATTTGAAGGGTCTCAGTGATAACACAGCCACCCTCTAAGAAGTGTTCATGTCTGGGGATCAAGTCATATTTTCAACATGTTTTCGGGGTCGCTAAATTCGAACCCGGTGTCCATTTTACTCCATCACATCAGACTTTTTACATAACCTCAAAAAATACAAAAATTGAAAGATATGTCAAACCGAGGGGTCAAACCATGTTACCTATATGTTTTTGTGTCCATGCGCACTCTTTAAAACACCATTAATTTAAGAAACTTCAACAGTAATTATAAAAATATTGCTTGTGTCAAATATTTGAGTATATTGTGTACTAACCTTATGAAAAAATTAAAGATTTAGCCATTTGTAAGAAAATGTCTAGAATGTTCTCAATATTAAGCAAAACCTACTGATATTTTGAAACAATGCTTAATGACTCCATTTAAAGCTTAATATTGAAGAAAATATATCATTTAAAATCTATAGCATCAATAAATAAACATAGTTGGTCAAAAAATGTGCAATTTTCAAATCTACAAGGTTTTATTAAAAATAGCAAAAAACCTACTATACAATTTTGTGCTATTCGAGCAAAATTGAAATAAATAATTTGGAGAGTTAAATCATGTATAATTGATTGATTGGTAGTTATTTCGGGCGCGTCACTATTAAGGTCATTATACCCGTAAGTGTAGTGATTGTTTTTGCTCGGGAGGTGGCGTTGGTCTTTCCTCGCTGTATGGCGAGATCCAGTGCCGACCTATAGTCGGCTAGTGAGATTTTCCCCAACCAGTTATCTCTCGCCAGCGTGGCCTCGCCCCAGCTGGGACAAGCTCTAAGCTGCGAAACTTTCTCCCGAGATGTGTGGTAGTGCAATACATATTAGTGTAAGTGTTTGTAATGGGCGAGGATAAAATAAGGAAGCCATAGAAAAGATCTCGCGCGGTCCGTGAGCCGTTCGATATGGTAGTGCTCCGACATTCACCTGATGTTGATAGGAGAAACCACGAAAAAATACCGATCAGAGAAACCGGTCGCTAGAATTCTCCTCCGGACATCGACTGATTTCGACCTAGCTGACAAGCCAGTGTTGAAAATCTTGCCATCGTCGGGACTCGAAATTAGGATCTCCGAGGCAGGGACTACAGAGACATCAGTTGATGCTCTGTGCCATCTCTCTCGGTGTAGCTACTCAGAAGAGAGAAATCTAGATATTTACCAAAATATTCACACACGAAATTATTTTTGAGACATTTATGTGCAATTATTTCTGTTGTGTGTATATAAAAGAAAATATCACATGGGGTTGATGGAGCAAACAATTCCTTGGCTGAATGAAAGAAAAGGGTAGGGAATCCCTTTCCTAGAGCAAAGCCGTTGAATTATGTTTCAACAGTATTGGCATGCAAATGCGTTAATACGGCGCTTCCGGCAGCCTCCCTCCCTCGCATCGGGTTTGGAGCAATTCCGTTCAATTTCCGCCGTGTTAGTTAACCGGCATGGCCGGCGTGTGCGCGCGCGCGGGCGGGCGGGCCCAATGCTACAAGAATAAAAAACTTAGAAAATTACACGTGAGAGAAGAATCTATGCTTCTGTATACCACTTGTGTTGTATTTTGCGTATTGATTTGATTCATATCACCTATAGATCTCGGAACAAGTTGTTCATGATAAGCCTCTACGTAATTAATCACAGCCGTTTTACTGTCTCGGTAACTTATGAATAAATATAGAGACAGTATGAAACAATTACAGAGCAGTTTGTAAGCTAGAAAATTCATTTCAGATTTCCGGGAGATTTTTGGGAATCCCCTGATACAGTAAGAGTTGTGATTTTGTTGAGACTGTGATTTTGAAGCCTCCAACTGACCGTTCCGTCTGTTCGTCTCCTTATCCGGACTCGTTCGTTTCTCTGTCAGTCCGTCCGCTGTTCAGTTCATCAACCCACCCTCCGGTCTCCGTTCGTATAGAGTAGATAGTCGATGTTCAATTCTTTAGTCCCTACTAGTTATATAGTCCAGAGGCAGCGTGTGTGTGTATGACTGCGCTGACTGTTTAATGAAAGCCTCGTTGCGATTACGTTCTTTGCGAATATATTTCCCAGCTGAGGAAAGCAAGAGTCTGGGAAAGCGTCCTGTAGTATTCAGACGATTTACCGCAGAAAAAAAAGCTCTAAATTTAATAAGCAAACGAATCACGAGATCCTTGCTACCTTTTTTAACACTATCTGGGACTATCTACCATGGCCTTGCCCATTTGCCGTCCAATCTGTAGTTTTTTCAAAACTGATGACTTAATGACTGTGACCATATTTTCATGGATACATATGTTTCTAATTTACAACCACATTGCGTATATCTATAATATACATTTACAAACATATTGCTTAGAGAAACAAACAATCAATAATTGCCTGACAAAGGTATGTTCTTCTTTACAACTGTTTCTCACTTTAGAAGACTATACTACCATCAAAAAACTTATCTAGTCAGTTTCTCCTCATTCATTGCACTAAATGCCGATATAAGCCCCTTTGTTTGCACTGCAACCATTGTGTGTAGATTAACTTTAGAAACGTATTTATTTAGGCTTCCCTATTTCTAGTGTGTCGTGCTAACTGCTGTAATGTTTTGCCATTCATGGGCAATACTACAAACCCATTCACGTATTTCTTTCATGTAAAAAAGGTCCTTTGGTAAGTGGATAAATCAGTTTCTAAATTTAGAAAAAAATCCTCTATAATGTGATTACGCCAGAAAGTTTGTCGGAACTTGAGTATCGAAAAATCGATTGGCGCCAAAACTTCCGTCCGTCCCTTCCTCCCTCCGTCCGTCCTCCGTCCGTCCTCCTCCGTACCGTCCGTCCCTCCGTCCTCCGTCCGTCCTCCGTCCGTCCGTCCGTCCCGTCCCGTCGTCCGTCCGTCCGTCCCTCCGTCCGTCCGTCCTCTCCGTCCGTCCCTCCGTCCGTCCGTCCCTCCGTCCGCCCGCCGTCCCTCCGTCCGCCCGCGCGTCCTCCGTCCGCCCGCCCGTCCCTCCGTCCGCCCGCCCGGCCCTCCGTCCGCCCGCCCGTCGCCCAGTCCCGCGAC